CAAGTAGCGGAATGCTACAGAGGTAAACAAACAATATCATTTGGAAGAGGATTAATAAGTGTTGACATTCATACAAATGAGTAATCCTGTAAACGTAAACAGAATATTTTATATAGATTTTTTTTAATGAAAACTTAAAATCCTGCATTATTTTCCGGACAACCCAATATTATATATTCAATATAAAATTTAACAACCTACTTTCTCAACTGTTGGCCAAGGGTGGGATGAGACAAATCAAGAATAGATTTGTATACAATTTCTGTTCGCTGTGTGATATTGTGCCAGTTGTACGCCTGTTCGACCATTTTATGTGCATCTTCTGCGGGAGGCAACTTTCCGGATTTAAGATCAGCCATCGCGCATTCTAAACCGTTGATTAAGGCTGGGGAAAAAATTGGATGGCGTTATTTTAAATAATAGGGTACATTTTTAACCACCTGGAACTGAAGGTTCACGGAGGTAGATGAGGTCTGGCCTCAGCACCTCGGGTATCCCGCCGACCTTGGTGCAGACGACCTGCAGCCCACAGGCGAACGCTTCAACTATCGCCATGCAATATGCCTCGGTGAGGGAACAATTGAGGAATATATGTCCCCTGTTCAAGACGGAGCAGACATCCCGATGGTCGATCGCACCTAACAGTTCGACTCTGTCCTTCAGGCCATGCCTACTCACAACCTCTTCTAAAAGAGTCATCTTCGGTCCTGAGCCTCCAATCACAAAATGTATCTTGAAAGTTTTACATTATGCAATAAATAATTTGAAGTGTCTACAACAATCTTTAGTAATTGGTGATATAAAATCAACAGTATGTAAAATAACGAAAAATATTTTACTCACATTGGCATATTTAGCACACATGTCAACAATAATCTGTGCAAGGAGATCTATCCCTTTCCTGTACACCAATCTCGCTATACTCACAACAACAACTAAAATACATCCATATTATATAAAAACATATTTAAAATGTTTGCATATTTACAATTATACATCACATAACATAATACAAGGCAACTAAAGTTTACCAAAATTTAAACTTAAAAGGTTTTTACTGATGCAAAATGATTTTATGTCGCTATCGTGTTCAATATACTGTTTATTTAGCAACAACTAATTAGGCCATTATCTAACATTGAGAGATTTCTTTTTGAGACCTGAGGATTGATGAACCATTTCATTGGTTATTTCTGATAATTTTGGCGAGTCTATCCTCACTGTTTTGATCTGAAAAAGCCAAAACTTATATGATAGACAGGAAAACCAAAATGATCAGAAACAATCAAGTTGATTCTAAGTCTAATTAAGTCATCTGTCATAACTTACTTTTTATGTGACAATGTGTATTGGTTTATTTCAATTTAATTTTTTAATAAAGGAATTGTAATGTGAATTTGTGGACAGAAAGATCAAAAATCTGGTAAAGATTTAGGAACCGATTTTAGATTGCGGGACTTACTTCGGTTTTGCATTCTTGACGATTCGTCTGGAAAAAATAATTTTGTGTCGATAGCATTGGGTATGACACTCACCCTCGTATGATTTACTTTAGCTCTCAGTACAGTATTTTCTTTCCTAAAAATCAAAACAAAATATTCCGTTTCAAATATAGTAATGAGAAGATAAAAGAGGCGAGTAAGAAAATAAAAGATCACGTGTTGTGATTAGTGACCGTTAGTCGATAATTATTCAGAAATCGTGAGATGCGGTCTGGTGTGATGTAGGTTTAAGAAAAACATTTTCTTTATCGTGCCAACGTTTCGATCTTTATTGAGATCATTTTCAGGGCCTGGGATTAACAAACATTGTTTGAATTTAACAAATACATGTAGGATGTGGAAAAAAAGTGAAGTTATACAATGCAAAAAAAATACATTTTTTTTATTATATTCAATCAAAGTATTTCTACTCACTCAAAGTGTTTAGTGTTTAGTACGCAGAAAACAAACACTTTGAGTGAGTAGAAATACTTTGATTGAATATAATTTAAATTTTATTTTTTTTTGCATTGTATTAGTCACTTTTTCCACATCCTACATGTATTTGTTAAATGTAAACAATGTCTCACGATTTCTGAATAAAAAAGATTTTAACTCTTTTTAATTATTAAATTAATTTTTTTGTTCCAATATTATTGTTATCAGAATAATTGTCATCCTATAAATATTTTTAAACATTATGACCCTATTTACTCTCTTACTATTTGTTTGATACTCCTTTATCAAAATGTCATAGATACATGAAATTATTATGGTAATTGTTGAACAAAAAAATCTACAGCTGACGAAACCACACATTAGGTTCGTAAAATAGAAGATAAGAATATATTTGAATGAATATATAGGTGGTTGAAAAGAACGAATAGCCAAAGACAACCTTACCTACTGAAATGAAAAAAATATTTAGATCGGATAAAAATTAAGATCAGAATTTTTGGCATTTTGAAAACTTTTTATATTTAAAGTTGTAATAATCAAGTTTTTTCTTGCAGGAAGATGTGCAACAGTTAAGCCCTACTCAAAAAAACTGCATCATATGTACAATGTTTTGTTATTTTGTAACGAATTCTGGCTTTTGGCCAATAGAAAATAAGTTTGGTTTCGCGTATAAAATATCCAAATGTACACATTCCGATAAATGAATCAAAAAAGTTAATCAAAGTAACTAATGGAAGAACTACTAAATCTAGGACGCATAAGGACAAGAATAACAGCTGGGGAGTACATTGCAGACTCCATGGGCATATGTATAGACTCGAAGTGGCACAAATAAGCCTGTGCAGATATTGCCAAAAAGAAGACGAGACAGCGGAACATATCCTCTGTTGGTGCGATGGTTCACAGTCTGAGATTTGTACTCTGGGGAGAGGAAAAGCCCGGGCCTGAAGGATACACGCATGAACTTTGAAAAAGCTTTGGGATCTGGTATAAAAATCTTAAACTAAATGAGTAACTCTATAAAACTGCTCGATATGCACAATAGACCAACATTGGTCATGGTACACAATTTATAAAGAGCCAACTCCTACTCTAATCTTAATTTAATTATGTAAAAAAAAGTCAATATATACAGGATTGAAGATAACTTGGTGGGCATAAAGGAAAAAACATGGTCAGGAAGGATTAACAGCAAATCTTTATGCTTTAAAATCATAAAATTAATTTGGGACACCTGGTGCATAAATAATCATGAGATTCCCTATTCAGTTATGCGAGGGGATGATGCTGTAGTTCAGTTATTTCTAATAATTTTGGTCTGCCCGTCCAAGCTGTTTTTGTCAGTCAGTTATTATACGCCATCTTTTTCTTCTTACTGGGCACAAAACTGCCACTGAGGATGGTGAGATGGAGAAACACGTCTGATGTAGGAATAAGGACTAGGATAATCACAAATGACCCAACTGCATAATTTACCTGTGTACATTAATATAACCACATTTCTTTCAGAATCCACAACAAAAGATATGGTTGTATTAAGGTTTGAAAATACTGTTAAAAAAACTTTTCTAAGATCACAGTGGCCAAGTGGTTAGGGTCTCCACATTGGTCAGCCAGTGATTCTTGGTTTAAATCTTGATATATCCATGGACTTTTTAATTGATCATAATATGAAAAATGTGTTGTAAAGTGGTTTGACCATGGATGTTAAGCCATTAAGCCTCTGCGTACCTTGCAGAGAAGAACCATTCTATAAAAGTAGATGGTCTATAAAATAATAATTCAAAAGGGAAAAAACTTATCAACCTACTGACATAAATGCCCATCAAATTGATGTTTATGAGCTACAACTGCTCCGTAAATGAAAAAATAAAAATAAAATAAAGGGCAAGTACAAACTGCCTAAATGAGTTCTGAAACTAAAAAAATTTTCAGAAAAGCAAAAAAGTGATAAGAAAACAACAAATAACGAAAGCATTACAGCCTTCTGCAAAAAAACATTTCTTTAAAAACTTAATTAAAAAAACATCTTACCCAATATGTGAAACACAAATGCAATGATCAACATTGGCAAGGCTTATCTGTAGAAACTTGTTTGTTATTATTGCAGAAGTGTCGGCAAATCCAAAAAGAGAGTGGTCAGTGAAGACGGTCTGTAAATATTAAATCAAATGTATTATTTATACTCAGAAAAAGTATGTAATTTAGTTACCTTCAAGCCGAGAAGTTTCCCAATGATCATAACTTCGTGTGCGATCGCCGAGAAGGCAGAATGACCGTGGACAATGTCAATTCTCTCCTTTAAGAGTACGTTCCTAATGAGAGGGAGAGAAGCGAACATTGTCGGCAGAACACAACCGTTATAAAATGTTACAATAGGAAGGTAAAAAACCTATTGAAAAGTTTAAAAAAATTATCTTTTAGCTGATCGGAACAGAGTTTATCTTACTTTGAGTCCGTTTGTGAAATATTTAACTCCCACGAGGTCCTTGTAACTGTGCGTTACAACGATTACTTTGTAACCCATTTGGAGCAGACACTGGGACAAATTGTATATATGTTCTTCCACGCCGCCGATATTGGGATAGAAAAAATCCGAGGCCATGCTGAAATAAAACACCACCGTTGTTAAATGAGTGAACGACAGAATAAACTTCAACCATGGTAAAATATCAGTCACTTATTTTTTTATTTATTTAATTACAAAGGCGTACAACCACGATGGGTCAAAACTGCCTTGATGATGAATTAATCAATGAGAGAAGAAAACAAAGAGCGATAAGCCAAGAGGGGCAGGGACATCAAGAGCGGGCGCACCCTCACAGCAAAGTGGACACCACAAGACCAGGCAAGAACCAGACACCCAGACCAGCTCCTCTCCACACAGAGACAGTGGCAGACTTCTCAGAGGGCTGCGCATGGTGTGCCAGCATCCGCAGCCCTCCCAAGTTCCGGGGTTCAAACTCAACCCAGAGGCCAGCCCCACCCACCCCTGGCACCCACACCCAAGGCCGCTCCGCCCTCCTACTCATTGTTTGTCACAATTTATCGGTCAACCCAGTTTCAGTTAGGAACTCAAAAAGCTTTCTAATGTTAGCTGGGGAATCTTTCAAAATTTCGGTCACATTGTTTCCAGGCTTATGTTTGACCCAAAGGTCTTTGTAGTTTCTGCATGATGACAGAATATGCTTGATGGTGATTATTTCACCACAAGTTGTGCATCTTGGTTCTCTGGCCATTAGGTAACCATGTGTGTCTCGTGTGACCTATCCTGAGCCTGGCCAGCACAGTTTCTTTTTTTCAAGATCTTTGCATTGCCGTGTCCCACTGTCAGTCACTTAAGAACTCTTGTCTATCATCAGATGTAATTAATCAAAAATCTAATTTTTAAAAATATCAACATTGGCAGACAGAAACATAAGATCTGTTTCTTAATAAATTATCATTATGATTAAAATGTACCACCAAACAGTACAATTTGTCTTGACGTGGAAAAATACAATTAGAGAAATAATTTTTGTTTATTTATAATGCCGGCGCGATTTATTTGTGACAGCAATCTGAAAGAATTTTAACCAACGAAAATGTCAAAAGTTAACTTAAACAACTTACCAAATCCTCAGATATTTCCCCATGTTTTTAGCTTTTGTTATTATTTAATACGATAAGTTAGCCACAGTTTACAAAATACGAATGTCCGAGATAACAGCACTCGAAATCAAACCCATCACCCAAATGTGAAATACATCTTCGCTATATAATCACCAATAACATTTTAAAAGCCAGTAAGTCTCAGACAAACGAAAAGTAACAAAAGTGTTTATTATTTTAAGGTAGATCTCGCCGAATATTTTCATCAGGTTAGTTCCCTAATCACCACTCTGCCCCTCCCTTTTTTAAACCAAACCATGACTATAGATATCAATAGTGCTATATAGATATATGGATAATAATTAGCAAATAAGCACTATATTGATATACATTTATCCAGGGAGAGGTCAGGGCTACAACTCATAGGCTAATGCAGGGACAGGCTCCAATACACCACTCATATAAAGAACATCTAAAACTTTGGAAGGAGCTTCAGGGTTCTAGGGATGTCTGTTGATGCCATGACCCCAACTAAATTCAGATTTAACAAAAAAATTTCAAATTAAAATACCTGGTAGAGCATATATGGGAGAAAGGGATCCCGGTTAACGACGACCATATTTGGTACAAATGGCTCCAAACTGGGTATGGAAGAGCTAATATTTATGCCTTGGGCAATATGCCACTAAGTAGAGGCTGTTTAATACTGTGCCATGGAAATGAAAATGCTAGGTAGTGTTAACAGGAGAACAACCAGTACTAGTAAAGTCCATTGCCGTTTGAGATTGCATCAATCCCCTGTCAGAAATTACGTTAAACAAAAAATTTACCTATTTTTCTTTCCAAAAGGTAGATTGGGAATGAGGCCAGGAAGACAGAAACAACATTTATTTTCTTGTCGAGCTTTCGGCAGAATATATCGCCTTTATCAGGACTTCGAAAAAATCGTTATACTATATGAACAGTTATACCGGCTCTCCATTATCCACTCATGAACCTGTTCATATAGTATAATGATTTTTTCGAAGTCCTGATGAAGGTGATATATTCTGCCGAAAGCTCGACAAGAAAATAAATGTTGTTTCTGTCTTCCTGGCCTCATCCCCAATCTACCTTTTGGAAAGAAAAATATTTAAACTCAGAAGGCTGATTAATCACCAAAGAAAATATTAAAAAATTTACTCTTGCCTATAGGCCAGAGGGGCAATGAAGAAGTCAGAAATTAGCCGAGGAAAGCTCGTTAGTACATCTATTGGCCCTTTATGTGGCATACCAAACTGCCAAAAATGTGGATCATAAATTACATACTGTTCATATTTTTTACATTAATAATTACTTTATGATATACACGTTCACTATTATTACTAAGAGTTAGACTGAATTAATATCAAAACTGTCTTATTATTTTTGAAAAAGGAAACTTATCTGAACAAAAAATGAAAAAGGATGAATGGAAGTAGGATTGCCATAAACAAATGGTAGCTGAATTGTATAATACAACTCCAACAAAAAACATACTTTAATTAATAACATCACATTTGTATAATTTTAATTTTTTTAACTATGGGCTTTTTTGATCACTTGTTATTTCTTAGGTGGGACCCAAGCCGAAATTTTTTCTCTTGTGGTCGAGTATGGGACGTATTGTTGTGGTGTACCGGACATATTTTCTTCATGGTCTAACATCCATGGGTATTTAGGTCTCGATGGATCCTGGAAAAAAAATTAATTAAAAAAAAGAAAAGATTATTTGACCGAGACAGTTTTTCAATCTTACCAAATGGGGAGGAAGATCTGTTTTGTAATGGAGCCACCCAAACCATTCGGCCGGCACCTGACTTCCATCGTAGTCAAGGAAATATTTATCAGCGTATTCCACCCAACGATTTCTGCCTATAAAAAAATAAACAGAAGGTATTTGTTTTTAAAGCTGGTAAAAAAATTATTTGTAGTTAATCCAAACTTTTTTTTAATGTCATTTTTTGAAATTACATTTGTAACATCCTGATAAGCAATAATAAAACTGATTTATAATAAAACAACTATATATTATTCTGAAGTAAATAGAAAAACAGATAGTCTTCTCAGAGCTTTTCAAACACATTTGTCATATTTTTTTACATTCACCTGTAAGGTAAATCTGAGATAATTTTTAAGTTTGAAAGTGGTAAAAATCTAGCCATTAGTAAATCTATGATTTTAATAATAAACTCTTACCATAAAAGTAGTAATTGTTTTCAAAGTACTTGTTTCCATACTTGTCCTCTCCAACAAGTGTTCCCATCTTCAGCTCATCTTGCCTGTGCAAAATGTTAAAATTAATCCAAATCATGAAAACTTTTTTTTTAAATTTGTACCCTAAATATTAGTACATATTAAAATGTGATCACAATAAATTTTTTCATATGGTCACACCACTAGCTGTAAGGATAGTGCTGGACTCAGTACAAGGGAATAATGGACAAGGAGGTCTTGAGTCCATTGATTAAGGCAACGCAGCAGGTTGAGAATATGTATAAAGTGCTTGAGCAGTACGGATGGATCTAGATGTGGGTTAAAACGTTTGGAAAGTCAGATGGTTAGATGTCACATTGTTCAGACGTCTTGTCATACAAAGCCCAGGGTTACATCCTCCGAAGTCTTGTCATCTGAAGGACACAGTCTCCATGGGTCCAAGGGCTCTGAGATGTCGCCATCCTAGGTTGCCAACCCAAGGCAATTCCTGCTGAGGCAGGATATAAGACTAGCCTGCAACGGGGGCAGAGTTAATAAATAAGTAAAGAAGCTGGACAGAACATGAGAACTGAGTCTACAGGCCGGGCCCATTGGAGTTCATACAAAGGAAAGCCCACGACCCGCCACCTACAAGATCAACAACACATTGCGACAATGAGCTTTCACTGCAATGAAGTCATAAGCTAAGAAATAAGGCTAATATTGTAAGCCAGGGATGCCACACTTTAAACTGGAGCAATTTTTAACCTAATCCCATTTTTCCCCTATAAAAGACCTTTCTACCTCTTTGAGGGAGATATCCCAGGGCACGAAGAAAGATATAGATGTGTCACAATGTAGAAATATGCTGTCAAATTAGAGAATATTCCTGATCATAGCTCAGTTCTTTGTATTAGTTTTTAGAAGAAAAATGGCCTTTTATAACATAGTTGCTTGTTTTTTGTTGTTGTAAGATATCTCTTGTTGGGAGTGGATACATGGCCCATAAACATCTTTTATATTATATATTTATGGCCCAAATAAAGAATTTTAACGTCATCCGTCAAAGATACCTTTCGTGTTATTAATTTTTTAATGAAAGAAAGATCAAACGAGTCAAAACTTTTTTTGAATTTTTAGGAAATGTTTAAAATAGATTTGTTAAATGGTTTCAAGTGTTCTTTAAAGAGATCGCTTCGTCCTCCGATACCTGAACAGTTTGAAGACTGATCCTGTGATTCCTCCGTTCTGTTTGATTATTTTGAAAAAGTTCCCGAGTTTGTCCAAGCCCAAAAATTTGGCCATGGTGTGCAAAATCGGCGATTTGTCGAAAAATCGAAACCCAGAACTGTGCGGTTCACAAGAGAGAAGGCGAGCTGATAAAGACTATTTTCGCCCTGGAACCACACAGCCTTGAAGTGAGGGGTACAGACATTTCTGATAAGTTACTATCGATATAATTATTTTAAATTATCGATACCTCAAAGACGAAACATTTAATTTAAAAATCAAAAATAAATAATAATTGTAATATAATTGAATAATTAATAATTAGAAAAGAAATGTTATATAGAATAATTACAAAATATTGTTATATATTGTCATACGTATTTTTATAGATATTTGTCGATATTCAAACAAAAATTTTTCAATTTGTGGTTTTTATTTTAAAATTCCGTGGCTTTTTAATAATTTTTTGGTTTATTTTTTATATTACATTTCCGGAATTTACATTCATATCTTATTTTTTAAATTTTTTCTTTATATATATTTAGTTCCTTTTAAAAGATACCATTTTGCATATGTTATAAGTTGTCCTTTACCATTTTTTGTTTCTTAATTGGGTTAAATCGTTTTTTTCAGTTATTCTCTTGTATTTACGGTTTTTATATCATAATTTTTAATTTGTAACGATTTTTTTAAAACATAAACTTGAAAAAACACAAATCATAAATTGGTCAAGCGGATCACGAAAACTAGTGAACTGAAAAAATTATAAATACAAAAATGTCTAGCAAAATAAGTCTTAAAAACTATGTTACTACAGATTAAAAAGTATAATATAAAATTTTTTATTTTATTTAAGCGAGCCATTAATTTTGTTAGTGATCATTTTTGGTCTACCTATCCTCTGGTAAGGTCTGTCAAATCAAATTTTATCTCTTTACTTTTTTAAACTTACTTCTTTTAAATTCTTTGCAAGGGTTAATTCACAATAAGCATAAATATACTGAGTATATTTATAATACTGCATTATTTGGAGGATTTGACTCGAGGAAGAGGGATCATTCTTACCCGATTAAGAATAAGCCATGCGAGATCTATACACGGACACTCACTTTTGGGTAGTCTTCTTGTTTCAAAGCCGCCATATAAAAAAAGGGGTGGTTGAAAAAAAAAAGAAAGGTTGCTTAATGTGACCCACCTAATAGAAGGACACAATTCCTTGGCTACATACAAAGAGCACTATGTGTAGGAATACCACTAAATATGTTATACGTGAATATAAATATATATAATACGTTAGGAATATCTAGTCTTGTGAATGAATGTATTTATTAGAATGAATTTGTAATGTTAGAGGGCCGAAATGAGAATCGGTTTGAGCACGCAGTGAATTTGGGTTCCCTGCAATTTGGATAAAACAGGGTTGTTTTTATTGCATATAATATTGATAGTTCTGCGTCTCTAGCGTGTGTTGAGAGTGAATGTATACTGTGAGAGGTCTGATGTCAGAATATTGAGTACCCCATAGACCCTCGATTAGATTAGTTATACAATAAATGTAGAGGGTATTGGAGGAATATCTAGTACGCCACCATCCTGAGTGAATGGTATGTAAATAAAAAAGAATGTATTTAATAGTGAGTGAGAGAGTGAATGGGTTTGGCTTTAGGAAATGTTTTGCGTTGGAGATTGAAATGACCTATGTAGCTGTTGGTACCTCCAACCTCGCTGTGGCAGTATGTATGTACATTTATAAATCTCTTGCTCTTTCTTCCTTCCTCTCTTCGTTTCTCTTCTCCCCTCTCTCTCTTTATTTCTTCCTCTCTTCTTTTCTGTTCTCCCTCTTTGTTTCTGTTCTCTCTCTCTTTCTTTCTTCCTTCCTCTCTTCGTTTCTCTTCTCTCTCACTAGACATAGGAAAAAAAATCACCCTTAGTTAATCCAACCAAAACATGTTTTTTTTTGTGTTTAATTTATATTTTTAAGTGTTTTAAAGGTTGATTAAAACAAATCCAAATTGTCAAATTTTTAACTAATATTTTTTGTTTCAGTATATGGAAGCATCTTCGTTTAAAAATCTTCTTTCTACCGTTACACGCACAAATCTGGTCTATGGTAATTATCAACAGTAAAGCATCTTAGTTTTCTCAGTAGCAGAACATTTTTCAGTGGCATAGCTCCTTCTTGAAAAAATAGTTCTAAATGAAAAGTAAACTTGGCTAATTTTACCTTAACATCAAAACTGCCTTCTTCAAATTCAGTCCTCCAAATAGCTTAATTCTGTTTAAAAAAAACTAATTAGTTGTCTAAATTATTTGATTTATTACAAATTAAGAGACCTCTGTTGGATGGTCATAACTCCCTCTGCGATTCCAGCTCTGTTGAGTCTTTTTTACACTTTCTCAAAGAATTCTCACTTCTAGGGAAGAAATGAAATTTACCTGTTTTGTAATGCTAACATATTTATTTAAAGAAAAGCCAATTGGCGAGGACATTTATTTACACAATTTTAAGAATGAAATGTAAAGTTCTGCCCAAAAGGTAACGGGTATATAACTTTTTTTCCCTTACCCATTATTGTTCAACATTAAGAAAATGATACAATCGTACATGAGTAACAACTTTAAAATAAATAAAAAATAGGTCTAAAATCAATGTACAATTAAAGGATAAAAACTTTAGGTTACTATATAAAATTTATTATAATGTCCAACTATAAAATATAAAAAAAGAATAATTAGTCAAACAATAAAACGTGCAATTCCAACGAATTTCAGGGGGGGTTAAAGGTCTTGGTTTTTACCAGAATGTAAAAACAGAAGAAACTATTTACAAATAATCATATGACTGCGGAGTCTATAAAAAGTAGTCGTCCCTTCTCGCCCTTATGCTCGTTAAAGGTTCCATTAACCTAGAAAAAAATAAAAGAAAAAAAGTTAAAATTGATTTTATAAGATAGTGGTTTTAACCATACCTCTGTTTTTTTGTTGAGCTGACTTCTAAATTTGACTTTTCCTGCAAAACAGAGAACAAATTTTAATAAATTCAGAACTGACAAGCAAATAACAGTGGTGTCTGCCTAGTATAAATTGAAACACTGATGCAAAGTTGAATACACAAATGGAATACACAGATGTTTAGATCTACATTTATATTAATCCATACAGGGCAGCGGGTGTCTCTATATTATTTTCTTTCCACATATTTGTGTATTCAACTTTGAATCAGTGTTTACAAAAAAAAGTGAAAGGTAAGATTGATTAATTACAGAACTGACGGATAGACAGCTGTTAAGGGCTAAAACATTTTTGTCATTTTCAAGGTTTTGTAAAGAAAAAACTACAAAAAGTTTTACAATTTTGTGTTTTCTTCATTTATTTATTATAAATAAAGGATGGTAAATATACAAAAGTGTATTTCTATTTTTCAGGTTTTTTATTTAAATTTATTTTTGCTAATTGTTGAAAATGGATTCTTATATACAAAGGAGAAGGTAAAAAATTGATATTTGGAGCATATTGTAAATGGCTGAAATTGTACAGAAAGTTGGCCTTTCACTTCTTCCAGACATTACTTACAAATAATTTTTTTTCTTTTTTTAATAAAGACTGTGACCTTGGGGTCATTTCTGCCATGTCTATTATTCAAAGAATGGAGTAGAGTGGCGATAGAAGTGCCTACTGACCCCAGGAACAGCCCGGCCAGGCGCCAGGAGAACAAAACCATCCCTACTCTTGCATTCAATTCCCCCCCGCACAGGGCTTGAGTGAGGAAGAGTCAAGTGTCCAGGCACCAGTGACTCACTCCTAAAGTCAGATCAATCTGCCACCCAGCCGTCACAAAATAAGGAGCCACGAGCGCCGATCTGCCCCACGAATGGGAATGGGGAATTAATCATAGTTAATGGGAACTACATGATGAAGAGGGGGAATAAATTAAATTTTGTGAATTAAGCACTGGGTGGCAGAAAAATTGGACTGTTAATGTTTATAATCATTTTTTTTATGAAAATATTTCAAATTATTTATTGTAAATCATTATATTTATTTTAAATATAATTTCAGTCGTACTGCCTCTAATAATGACAAAACAAATAATTTTCGAAGTTGCTGCATTAAAAAAAGAGAATTAGAAGCAAAATAATGGTAACAATTAAAAACCCAAAAGGGTTTTATGAAATTTGAAACTAAGTATGGGTTGTACTTGTATGGGTTGCACCAAATTTGGCTATCGCCTGTGGCAGCGTATCTCATAAGAGACCCACCCAAAAACGTTAATTTATACAACAGATACAGTGCAAAAATTATTGTTATACAATTATTTATTTAACAAGTTATTTAACAATGAAATAAATAAATAAAAGTTGCCCCAGAGGGTTGACAACGCTCAGCCTCCTCATATTCAAAATGTTAAGGGGGTCCAACCTTTGGTCTTTTTTTTTTTTAAATATATTAAACTTGAATTTTTTCTGCATCATGTGTACATGATCTGCAATTTTGAGCTCTGCACAAGTGCTAATTTTTTTAATTTTCAACAAAAGTTTTAATTGTTTAAAAATGACTTTATTAAACTAGATTATTTTGTGCATTGTCTGGTATAAATAATTTGCTATTTTGAGTTTTATAAGTACTAATTTTTTTTAAATTTCTTTATTAATTAGAATTATTTTGGGTATCATTACATAGATCAGAATCGCATCTACAAATGAATAAATCACAGTATGGCTTCAACGAAATGATGCTGATGATGAAATGATGATCATCACAAGAAGCATGATCAAAATGTTGAAAATCAAAAGTGAAAAGTGACGTTTTGTGTTCCTTTATGTGACCTGCGACCTTTATGTTCCATTTTTGTTTTTGTTGAATATTTTGAATTGCTTTTTATTTATTTTTTTAATTAACAAAAACAAAATTACAAAAACTGAAAATTTTGTTGAGCACTTTTTTTTATTAAGGCCTTGAGAGAAAAAATGATAATTAGAGGGCAGAATTTTCAACAGCATGCAAAACAAAATCCCCCCCCCAAAAAAAAATTAATTACAAAGTAATAATAATAATTATCTAATTAAAACATCATTCTGGAGCGATGCTCTAAACACTTCCATACATAAAGACATCATTCTAGAACAATACATCTCTTCTAGATAACCTCTGCTTTAGAAGAAGCTTGTGTGCTGGGGGTGATTTTGGAATCAAATCAGTGTCACAGACCTTTAGTATCGCTTTGTTATTACTGTGAAGACGGTTTGTAAAATTTGACCTTTTGGAAATTTTTATAACTTTTGGAGAAAAAAAAAATTCTGCATCTCGGCAGTCTTTACAAATCAGTACCACAATAAATGCATTAAACTTTATATCAAAATGTTTACAAGAAAGCCGTGGATAAAAGTCCCATTATGTTGTGATTGGACAAGCTAGCCTTGTCTTGTTTTATTAGAGTGTGCACATCTATTCAATGTCAAACACACGCCACAGACAACACAGTGTGCATCACAAACCAGTGTCATAATTGCAACAACTCTTTTGCTAAATAAATTGTTAGTTAAATTCATTCCATCAACAAAAGTTAATTCTGGTGTGTTCATAAATTTTCTGCAAACCATCACAATTAAATAATTTTTATAAAAACTCGTGAATTTTTGATCTCGTTAAATTTGGTTTACATTAAGATAAGGATGTTGTAATTAATATAACATACATAGTTACATACATAGAGTTTGAAATAAACTACAAAAAATATTCTTTTTTCTTTGACTGTGCTCGATGAAAATCTGAACATTGGGGAATTTGGTTGTGCCGTGTAACGTAGAATAGGGTAGCATTGAGTTGCAACAATTAGATGTGCAAGGGGGTATGCAATCTTATGGAAAATTGGACATTGGATTTGTGTTGGGTCACGTCGCGGTCGTTGCGTCAGGTAAATGTGTTCCCTGTTTTAGTTCTTAAGATTTTAAAGAAAGAACGACAATATTAGAAAAAATTATCTGAGAATTGGTTGAACCCCCCCCACTTAAAGAATGAAACACTAGAGAAAAAAATTAAGCTGTAAGTTTTTCTTAATAAGCTGGACAAGCAGAAAAGTGTAGTTTGGTCTTTTTTAAAAATCATTTTGGCCAGTCAATAACATTTATTTTAGAAACTACAACATTCCGACTGCTGAACATGTTTAGATAATTGGGACTTCACAATACTGTTAGTACAATAAAACATGAACATCAAATTAAAATGAGATTTAATGTGTAATTGGTTAAATAAAATGTCAACCCTTACTTGTAATTTACAGGCAGACTCGCATGAACAGTTTTCATTGCAGTCTAGGTCATCCTGTTTACAAGGGCAGGATTTAGGAGAGCATTCTTCTTGGCAAGAGCATTGCGGGTTTGTCTTATTTTTGCTGTTACACCTTCTCTTCGATGCCTATTGTAAAAAAAAGCAAAAAAAAAAAAAAATTTTTTTTAATTTAAAACAAAGATGGACGTCTCAACATTGATTTCAGAAGGGTTTTTCATAAGATGCATTTTTCTTAGAATGTAAGTCACCTAACGGTTTTGCAGGAGCTTCTAAACGGAACGCTAGTTACTCAGTTCTAACGCATTTCGAACAGAGGAACTGGATTATATAAAGACGATTTACCTTAAGGGACTGCAGTCTCTTGTAGAGGGGTGTGTGAACCCAGTCTGGATCGTTGTTGGGGTCGTCATTCTCTATCTCAACCGAATCGTCAAATGTCCTCAACCTCTCTTCATCGGCCAATTCGAAGGTGAACGTCTGTGTTTTCTTTTTGCTGTTTCTCGTGCCCTGCCCAGCCTACAAATGATTATGAGTTAAAATAAATGCAACAAATGAAATTATTCTTGTTAAAAAAAAAAATTAAAAACAATAAAATAATAATAATCATCGCCTTAGTTTAACCAATATGCGTTATTTTCAGACCGGATGTGCATTACAACTGACTGAATCAATTATCAATCATAAATTTTGTACTTTCCTTGTCTGAAAGAATTAAATCTATCAGCCATTTGATGTAACAGGACTGAATCCTTTATTGGAAAACCTTCAAAACTAAAGTTAAAAAAGAATTACTAATCGTCAACTTGTAAATGAAGACAGGTGCAGTTGATATTCATACAAATAACAGTAAATAAGCGAAAATTTATTTTACTCGATAAGAAGTGTATTTTTAGTTGTTTTGCTTTGTTAATTTAAAACAAATACACGAAGAAATGAATTTACTAATGGACTTTTCAAACTATGTGAGTTTCCTCCTGTGATTTGCGGGGTGATAAACTTAACATATATCCTGGTCTGCCTACCATAACCGATTTTTGTTAATTCAGACACATTTAGCATTTGGTCATCTTCGGCAAACCTCTTATTCGGATTGACATGGAGAATGGAAAAATGGAGAAACTGATTTAAATGTTTACTTCTTCAATCCAAAACATGAAATTGATCCAATTTGTTATTTATATTTACTATATATTATATACTTACAACAATTTTCTTGTAGAAATTTTAGAACGTATGAACTGAATGCAACAACCACAGATTGACATAACAAAAGAAAAGAAAAGGAAAAAAAAAAACAACAGCCAGAAATTGTTTTTAAAATTACAATCGACATAATCAACCATAAACCTACAAATTATTTCTTTTTTAAGAATATTTCAGAAAGTATGTAATTAATATTAGCCAAAAAAGAAATCATTACGTTTAAAAATTCAACGTTTTTTAAATAGTGACTTCATAAAACTTACCCTACTTGGTTTAACCCTTTCAGGTCGGTCAGCACCCTTTGGTCCCCAAGGTACTAAGTGAGCGTGATATCACATGATGTTTTTAGACTAAAGCTCAAAGAAACAGTGTACTGTAAATTATTTCTAGCACAGTTGTTTGCCGTTTTAAGTAAAACACTGCTTCTTTGAATTTCAGTCTAATAGTGAAGGGAGAAGAGTGTGATGCCATGTTCACAGTACCTGTGTAGAGGGAGAGGTGAGCATGACTCTCAGCATCTCACAGGAAGAAGCAAGACCGGGATATCACTACCTGTCCTGAAAGGGTTCTTGCTATATTTTTTATCAAAACGACCCATATCAATGGAATACTATCAAGAAGATGGGATTTTATACTCTTAGAATATCTTTTGAGTATTTTACTAGTGATAAACAAAATTTAGTGAAAATGTGACAAATTTTTGTCAATTAATAATCGATTATGGTCCACAATAACGTAATTTCAAATGAGGTTTTGAGTTCAACATAGCAGACAAAAAAATTCCCTTTAAACAATGAAATTTTTAGACGGAAACTTCTTTAGAATACTCATATCACAAATTTATTCTCGAGCCTCCTTTTCAGCATCATCAGTGACAAATCTGTTAAACCAATCTCCTGGTGCAAAAGAGGAAGCCAGTCAGAGCTTTAAAAACGTTGCAATGAAATTTTTTTATTTTTAATAAATTAAAAATAAATTTCCAAAAATTTTTTTTGGTCTACATGCAGTTTTTTTCATCATGCACATGCAATAATTGATCTTAGAAAGAGTACCTTTGATGCAGTGAAGGTTGTATCTTTTTGTTCCAAAAAGTTTTCAAAAGCTTCCATATGCGTAGATGGCTAAATAAACAAAAAAATTGATATTTTTCAATCATTGAACAATCCTTATAATTAATAATAATAAAAAGCAAACTGCCTTATGTATTTATTAAAACTATTTTGCTACATTTAAAATTTAGTTTAATTATGTAAAAACCATATCTACAAATATCTATTTCTGATATCCACTTATTAATCGCTTTTGATTCAGAAAAAAATGATATTTTTAAAAAATAATATACACGTACAGGTTTGCACACGACGAGTGCTTTGTTCAAGGTGTCTACTTCTTCCTCCAGTTCCTTGATTCTGTTCCTGAGCATCCCGATTTTCTCGAGTTCTTCATACTTGATATTCTTGTATTGAACCATCTCTTCAGACTCGTTCAGATTTGGCTCTTGAATGCGCTTCAACAAGATGTAGACCTACAAGAAAGAAAAAATGTTAGAACATGTTTTTTTTTTTAATATATAAAATTTTTTGACTTACTTTTTCCTCACATTCTTTTTCCAAATTTTCCAATTCCACTTTGTGATTGGCAGCAATTATTTCCATCTTTTGAGAGTAGAGATCAAGCTGGTTGACGTATTCATGTTGTTGTTCCTATTAGGAAAAAAAAATATTAAAAAAAACAAACAAAAAAAACAACCACAAAAGGATAATAAAATGTGAAAAGCTGCCAAAAGACCTTGAGCTCTGAAACGGACTGTGCAGTATTTAAATTTTCTTTTATTTTTTCAGACACAAGGTTGAACAGGTACGAAACGGCAAACTTTGCATCGCCCATGGATTGCAGCATATCCCAGTTTCCTTTAGGCCGATCTTCTAAAGAAAAAAAAAAGAAGAAGAAAAATAATAGTAACAATAATGTGAAAAGTTAAAATAAAAGTATTAACAATATATTACCATGATGGATATCAAGAAGCTTTTGCTGAAGGTCAGAAATTTCAGCACTCCTGTTGGCGATGCCTTCTTCAATTTGCTTCATGTCCCTTGCTAGTTTTTCTTTTTCTTCCTGGGATATAGAATTATCCTGCAGGCTTTCCTAAAAACATTAAATAATAAACAGGTTTACTTTGTATCAATTACAAATAAATAAATATATATATTTTAAGTACTTTGACTATGGTTAATTCTTTTGATAGAGAGGCTCGATCTTGGATTAGAGAATCGAGTGACCTCTGGGCTTGGTATTCGGACTCAAGCAGCTCGAGCTCCTCCTGCATCTTTTCTTTTATCCTCTCAGAGGCAGGGCCCTTCAGCTTTCTCATCTTGGCCTGCTTCTGCCTGTCCAGGACAGCCATGATTCTCTTGTTGGCAGCTGCGGCAGCTTCGAGCTTACGCTTCAGTACGTTTTGCTGAAGAGAGTGCTGTTGTTCCATCTTTTTCAGCTGGTTCTGCCGTTTAACATTCTGGGAACGAAGCAGGCACATTTCCCGATCTTTCTCTACCTTCCACGTTCTGAACTTTTCATTTTCACTCTTCATCTGCTGTATCAGTTTTACTTTGAGTTGTTTCATCGACTACAAGCAAATTCAAGAAAAATTAGTTAAATGAGCTTACCGAATGTTACAATTTGAAAATTAATATTTTACCATGATATCAGCCTGTAAAGCTTTCATTTTTTCATCAGAATTCTGCTTCATTTTAATTATCTTTTCTTGTTCTGAAATCTTTTTAAGAAGTGTTGTCTTCTGTTGCTCAAGTTCATGGAGCCTTTTCCTTCTCTGTTCAGCAACTCTATAAAATTATCAATACATATAAAGTCAAAGTTCAAATAAGCCTGAAATCTTATAATTTTAGTCGACAAATTTCTTACTTGCTGGCATTGTTCGCCGAATTTACTGCAGCCTTGTTGATCTGGCTAAGCAGCTCTTCTTTTTCAGACTGCAAGGATTCGACTTGCTTTTTGAGATCATCGACTTCCTTTTGAGAAATGCCCTCAATGACACCGAGTCCATTTACATTTTCGGACAATTTTGCCATTAGCTCTTCTTTCCAGACAAGATTCTTTGTGATTTGCTGAGAGAGAGAGAGAAAAAAATACTTGTCGAACTAAGAGCTATTTAAAAATTACTTTAAATAAATAAATTCACACTTACATAAATTTCTTTGTTAATCTTTGCCTGGTATAGAATGTGTTCGTGCCTTATTGGTGTATTGAGTTCATCCTCTTCGAATGGGCTCTTATTATTTCCTGACAGCTTTTCATGACTGAGCATCTCCTTCTCGCACTGGAGTCTCTGCACCTAGGAAAAAAGTAAAAAAAGGTGAAGGTATAAAGAAAATAAAAAAAGGACTTTTGGAAAAGGTTTACGTCTTTCATGCAATCTGCAAGGATTTTTGAGGAAACATGCAGGGTTCTTAGGAGTTCTTCAGGGACTGAATATAATTGAAAAAACCAAGGACTTCTACCTGAACTTCAAGAATTTTGGTTTTGATGTCTTGCAGAATCTTGTTCTTGTCGATGTCACCTGAGTCCGCGTTGATCGATTCAGACAGGTGGGTTAATTGGGAGAACTTCTCTTTCATTGTCTCTTCTAATTTCTCTGCCTGTAAATTTTTTTGATTAAAAAATAAAATTGAAAACCTTGTGTTGAAATAATCCAATTTTGGTGGAAAACATACCATAAAAGCTCGCTCCAATAAATTGGAGCTTTGAGACATATACTCGGTTAAAGTTTTAAGAAGCTCTTTGATGCGAGTCTGAGCATCCTCCAACTTCTGTTCCAACTGTTTGTGACTTGGAGGACACTCATAACTGACACCACCTCCTTCAATAAATTTCAGCCTCATGTCTTCCAACTACAAACAAATGGTTAAAAACTCATTGCCTTTTATAGAGCGAGAGAGAAAAAAAAAGTTTACTTCTTTCTTGAGCTTGGATATTTCTGCACTCTGCGGGTCCTGGTTCACTACAGGTTTGTTCTTGATCTTCTTTGCCCTGTCTGCATACCGAAGGGTGCTGAATGACTCATCTTGGTTGTAATCCGCTGGACTCACACATGCTATCATAAGCGTCACAGAGTTTCCACCAAGTGAATCTAAAAAAAAAGAAAAAAGAATTTGTTAAAAAATGTATTCAGAATGAATTGTTTCAAAGGAATTTTATGAAATTTTTATGATTTATTAATCAAGATTTTTTAAGAACCTTGAAGGAGACGAGTGAGCTTGCTGTCTCTATAATTGATGAAGCTATTGGTTCCATCACAGAGTTGCGATATCACATTGCCGAGTACCATGAGCCCTTTGTTAATGTTGACCCCTTCTTTGAACCTATCGCCTGTGGCACCAGTTTTTTTCGACCTTTCTGATCCGGCCAAATCCACTAAATGGAACTTAGATGTCATCACTTCCTTCCTGTAAAAACCGTCATGCAAAATAATACTGGAAAACTTTGAAATATGAAACAGATCTTACGGGTTTTGCTTGTTGGTTATTCTAATATTAAATGTGAATATGGCATGGGATCGTGATGACTGGGCGTTCATGGCAGTTGCTCCTACCACTCTACCTTGAGAACCCTTGACAAAGCTTAAAATTAATAGAAGATTTGGGAGTATTTTTTTATCGCATCAAAATAAAATTACTTCTTGAAGCCGGCTGAGGGCTTCGGCGGGCGAATGGACCTCCACTTCTGTCAGACCAGGAATGCAAACGCCGTTATGCTGCTCCCGCATATCGACCACGCTTTGCTCACGTGGTTTGTTAGTCAGCAAATCATAGAGACTTTCATTATACAACTACGCAAATAACAATTTTTTTACATCACAAAAATAAAACAGTTGAAAAATCCGTCTGCTTACTTCTAAAAATGAGCAAGTCACTCTATACGAATAATCAGTCTTAGTTTCAATTGTATCAAAGATATCATAAACCGCTCTAGGAATTACGCCCAGCTCGATATCTCCAGAATAATTTGTACCCATAGTGTATGTTTTGCCAGAACCTGTTTGACCATATGCGAGGATAGTCAAATTATAACCTAATAAATCAAATATCCTTTAGAACCTAGTTAACAGCTGGATATTAAAAATATTTTAAAAAAAGTAAGTACCTTTGAATAGATTTTCAATAAGATGCTTCACTGCGCAATTGTAGACCTTGCTTTGTCCCTCAAACTCATCGAAGACATAATTAAACGTGAACATCTGACTAGCTTTTCCAATTGAGATCTAATATATTGGATTTACTACGCATTAATATACAATTGCTGAATTATCAGATTAAAAATATTTACCTGAGGTTCATTGGGAATCCTCTCAATGCAAGAGCGACAGCCACTTTCACTTTCCGATTTTACAAGTGGCCTGATTCGTACAGCAACCTTTACTGAATCCATCTAAATATTTAAAAACAAAATTTTTAGTGAAAAAAGTAATTCCCGTCATACAGGAGTGTTTAATCCAACTGGTTTTGAACTCTGTTGTGGAGGAGTCAAACCATTGTACAATACTTTTGCATATTATTCTCAATTATAAAATCGTGTGGGGCTGTATTGTGGCACACATTTATTATAACATAAAGCAGATACTGAACGGCACATAATATTTATTTTAGCTAATATTCAATTACGAGTAATAATAGTTTTGTCAAGTTCGCTGAATTTGGCAGGAACAATGGATAAGGCGTAGGGATAAACGGCAATCTCTGACTTTCATGTTCACTGGGCTTTTGTCGCCGACGCTGTTTTATCAAGACACAATTGTCTTAGAAACATGGCTTTGACGATGATTTCTCAACAGCTCTTGAAGTTTTGTAAGTCTCTGTAGATTCAGAACCACTGGCACAGACTGACATCTTTACAATGTGTATTTTTTAGCAACTGTTGTTTAATAATTTGTTGAAGTATTAAGGAGCAGACGGAATGAAGTGATTTAGATTAAAACAACAAAAGTATGCCCAGGCTTGCCCTCCATGTTAGTGGCAGAAGAACAAGGAGATAGTTCAGTCTAGCCTAGGCATTGAGAAGGTAAACTGTTTATAAATTAAAAAAATAAATAAATAATTGGTTTTGGCTTTTTTATTATTTTTTTACAATCAAAGTTGATTATTTTAAGTTTGCCCTTAAGGCAAGTATTGTTACCGTTTTCATATCCCATTATTGTTATTTATTTGCTTGAAAGCAAAAGTTTATGCTTTGTTTTATTTTTAAAACAGCTTGATGTTTTGTCATATATATTTTTTCTTATTGAAACAATATAGAAGCATCTCTCTGATCTTATAGTTTTATAACTTTTCTTACAAAACAAATTCGTTTGATTTTGAGGCAAGATCACTATTTATAATGGGACTTTCCGAGGAATGATTATTCAGAGAACTTATGAATTTAATAATGTCCCAAGTGTGGATAACACGGAGGGGAGAGCCTGGACATAATTTTGTTGCTGTAAGGTTAACTTTTTTTTGCCAACGTTTCGACCTTTATTCTGGTTATCTTCAACGCTTGGGTGATTTACAGTGAATATTAACAGAAACGTTAGACATGTTTTATAATTCACCCAGGAATGTCTTAGGAAGAAATTAATATAGATAATGTAAAAAAACAATACTTTGGCAAAATTCGTTAGTTAAACAAATATGTAAAATGGATATATCATGAAATTATATCAACAAAAAAAAATAGCATACACGTAATTAACTTCATAGATTTAAACAAGTTCAAACAGGGCCTCCTCATTTGGAGGAGAGGGCACACAATTTCATTCATTATACAAAGCTATCAACACTACTTTCCTAGGGGAAAACACACATTTAAAAGACAGTTCACGAAGGTTTTTTATGTCTATAATAACGAAAACTAGGAGCACTTTGAGACATCTGTATTGTAACATATCTGGGTGTTTCAATGAAGATTAGACACGATGGATCAAATGGTTCGATACTAAAGAAACTGAGTTACATTCCAGCATACATGAAATTTTGAACTTTGAGACATCTGTATTGTAACATATCCACCAAAATATAATACATGGTGTATCACGTCCTCTCACAATGTCAACTAATGTTCAAAAAGTGGCAGATTGTCGATAAAACTTGCACTTTTATTAAAATAGGAGATTATCAAAAAAGTGTATGTGTGTTATACGACAGGGTTCTTCAACAAAGATCGACCAATTCGCCTGATGGTTCAATCTAAAAGAGTCAGAGTTCAGCTTCTCCCATACTTGAAATTTTGAACATCTGTATTGTGAGATATAACTTAAAAATCATACATGATGTGCCATGACCTCTCACAATGTCAACCAATGTTCAACAAGATTATTCGATAAAACTCAACTCTTATTAAAATAGGAAATTGTCAAATCGGTTTTTGTGTGTTATACAACAGGGTTCTTCAACAAAGATCGACTGATGGTTCAAACCAAAAGAATCAGAGTTAAGCTTCCCTGTACTTGAAATTTTGGACAACTATATTGTAAGGTAGAATTTAAAAATCATACATGATGGGCCACGACCTCTCACAATGTCAACAAATGTTCAAGTGGCAGATCGTTGATAAAACTCGCTCTTTTATTAAAATAGGAAATTTTCAAATCTGTGTATGTGTGTTGTACGACAGGGTTCTTCAACAAAGATCGACCGATTCGCCTGATGGTTCAATCCAAAAGAATCAGAGTGAAGCTTCCCAATACTTGAAATTTTGAACAACTATATTGTAAGATATAACTTAAAAATCATACATGATGTGCCATGACCTCTCACAATGACAAAAATGTTCAACAAGTGGCAGATTGCTCGTCAAACAAGCTCTTTTATTAAAACAGTCGTTAGTAGAATCAGTGTGCTATAATCAGGATCATAAAGAATTCAGTTTATACAGGTTAAACCACTAACGGGAGTTGGCAAATAATAAACGATAAGAAGTCAAAATTACCTTAAAAATAGGGTAAATTATATACGAAATTCAACGAAACTTGCTGAAACCCTAAAAGTGGAGACCGTTGGCCAAAGGCTGGTTCTGTTCCTACTAGCTCTGGCGGGTTCCAGTTTGCAATCGATTGTGCCGTCCTTTTTGATAAAACTCAATACAAACTCATTTTCTCCAGGATATATAAAACAATTAAAAAAAAAAAAACTTTTTTTGCATAAAAACTCATTTTTTGAGTGATTTTTTTAAGTTTGGGTGAAAAAATATGAGGACAAGAATCTCTATCGACGATCAAGATAGTCATGATAATACCGAGTTATCAATTCAAAATTATTTCTTTTATTATAATTTCCCCTGTGCTTCAAACTACGGTAACAACGGTGGATAATTAATATAAAGGGCTAATTGGATAAAATTCAATTTCAAATTGGACTTACAATATCCCAAATGAATTATAAAAAGCTGAATAATTTGAAAATCTCGGATTGCGCGGGTTCACTCCACTCACTGTAAACGGGAACTTTTTTTAAAAATAATAAATACTTTTATTAAACAACAAAAATGCAACTTTGCAATGATAGAAAAAAATTGGAACAAAACGTAAATAACATGTGATGGTAAATATAAAAATCCGTTTGTTAAAAAAAAATTAAAAGTAAGTAAGTTATAAAGTATAAACAAACTCAGTATTGTATACTTTTATTTTCAACCCCGGTCTTTCGTTTAAATGGTCAATTAATAGAGATAGATAACGTTCCCCAACCCTCTGGTAAATGTTTTACATTTTAATATTCAGTGTGGAAGCTTTGTCTGTCAGTCTGTGATTTTTTTGCAATCTGTCGCCTGTTTAAAAAGACCAAATCGGACCTGGTCCGCTTAGTCTCGCTAGACTTTTCGCTATTAACGATACAGTACAGCCATGAATTGACCGAGAACGACCGGTCAAATCCCTCAGACCTCAGGAAGGAAAATCACAATTAACCAGTTTATAATTATATCATAAATGAGATTCAAATGATCTCCCGTTGTAGGGGCTAGGAAAGGGCTATTTTTAATCCTTAAAAAAAAAAGATAGTTCCTACTCACAATAAGTTGTTTTACAAACGACCGGATTTCGAACCCTTAGCTCATCATCAGATTGAAGGATTTCTACTACCACGTCTTTCGACATGAATTGCAAAAGTGAACCCGCCAACGCGACGTTCCAATGAGAAGCTGGTTTTTTTAATGGTGCTCAATTTGAACGTAACGTTATTATGGTGTAGAGAATTAATTAGTTGGACCGCACTCACTCCATCATTCATAATTTCTATTAATTTGCTTGTCAAAGCAGCAATGGATTATAACACAATCAATAATATTACCACTTATAAATTACTTAAAATCTGTTAATAAACAAATAATTTTAACTTTATTATAAATTAAGATTTTCATGCTCAAAAATCAACAAATCAATCTAGTTCAATTCCGAATGTTTGAAATTAAATCTAACCCCAAAATTCGTTCTTGCTAAATTAAATATTAAGAACTGTTCAACTCTCTTACAATGTAAATGCCAAAAAATGAATTACATAAATTGTACTATCAAAGAGATACAAAACGTTTTTATCAATATATTGTACACATTAGGCTTGCCTCATTATTGTCTCCAGTAGAATGGGACAAATTCAATTATGATACGCGATCAAAAGTTAAATTTATCATTGATAAAAAACAAAGTATATTAGATACGGCTATTTTTTTTTTTAAATTGTTATATTAGATATTTTTTTATATTATTTTATATTAGATACGGCTATGTAAACGATATTATGCATATGGTCAGGAATATTAGAGGATCTCAAAGAATTCCTCCAACTAATTGTTTCTGTACACCGTAATATAAATTTTACATTGGAAATTAACAAAGATGGTTGCTTGAACTTTTTAGACCTAAAATTGTCCATAATAAACCACCTAATAGAAATATACGTATATAGAAAACCCACAACTAAAGATACCAGCGGATCCTTCCCATCCATGGTCCCAAAAGGCTGCTGGTTTCATTTGGCTCATAGACCGTATGTTAAAACTTCCATTAACACCTGCTAACTATAAAAAATAATTAGAAACTATTAAAACCTAAAAATAATTTGTTGATTACATGTGTTAACAGCGCCCTTTGCTTTTCATTAGCCATCTTCATAGCTGCATAAAAATCTGCACTAGACAAAATATTTTCTTTTTTTTTAGCAATTGCACCAAGTTTATTCAAAGTGGCTAATTGAAGATCACTATTTATATCTGAATTCGGATTATTGTATAATTGCTGAAAGGGGTTTTCTTCAGGAAATCTGTTGGCAACGTCTTGTATTTCATCTTCATCCATAGGGGTTTCTTCACGGCATAGTTCTCTACAAATTTGTATAGTTTTATCAATGTCAATGTCTGACTCGAATTCTTTTCTCCTCTGCAGTATAATATCCTCATTATCATCATAAATTCTAATAAACTTCATCTCTGCTAATATTTCCTCTTCTTCATTTCGGAACGGTAAGTGCAGTGTCACCATCTCTCGCTTATATTCGTTAAAGTCAGTGGCCATGTCGTAATTACGATACCGAATTATCTTGGGTTCACGCCTCTCAATAAATTCTTTTTTCCTGTTTTCCGTGTATTTCGATACAAATTGAGCTAATGTAATGTTATCTAAAAATTCTGGTCTTCTCTCGTACTTATCGAACCAGTTTTCTTTCCAAACATCAGTACAATCATCATCTAATTCAGATAACTCCTTCATAGTTTTTCTTATACGTTGACGTTCAATTGGCCATACCGTTGGAATATATTCGATGATGACTGAAGTTTTAGACATGGGCTCTCGTAGTAAATACCATGCAGCTTCTTGACTTGTGATTTCAGTATGGTTTAGTATATTCAAACTAATATTTTTAGTTATGTCGATAATATCGAATTCTGGATGTTCATCCATTGTTTCGATTATTTTTCTCTGTAAATGACTTACTCCTCTATTTGTTTTATTAACGTATTCTACTACATAAGCTGCACATGAATATTCCTCTGTAATAAATTGAAAGTCGGTATTAGATTGAACAATATTAAATATGAATGGATTAAAAGGATTATGCCATTTTTCCAATGGTTCACGTTTGACAAAAACTTTTGGTCTGGTAATTCCTGCTCTGATTATATTGTAATAATCTTCATCCGAAGTTATACCATTACAATTGTAAAAATTGTCCACGTCTTCAAAATCTTCATTCTCTAATCGTACTCTGATCTGAGCGTATCGATTTCGATAATTGATAAACCCTTCCTCTGTATTTTTCATCGGAGTCAAAATCATTGTTTTTTTGCAGGGCATGAACGGAGCTTCAAATCGACATTTTTGCGGTTTTTTTGCGGTAATTTTTTTGTAGCATGTGAATGTATGTTTATGCGTTTGAAGTTTAATATTACCTGAAGCTTCTGCTGCAGAAACCGATATTAAAGTATTTATAAGATCAATGGCTTTATCATAATCTTCATTAAGAGCATCTTTTGGAGTATTATCAAGCCAAGCCAAGATGTGAGCATGAGGACTGCCCCTATGTTGAAATTCAATGCGCTTGAAGTAGTGGCGAACTCTGTACTTCCCAAATGGACTACATGTTTTTGATTGAAGAATATTCATAACAACATTAACTAATTTATTAAAGTAGATAGTGCAAGTTACAGCATCTTCATTAATCAAAGTACTTTTCGCCATGTAATGTAATCGTGATATTTCCTCTTTAGTGATGTGATCATGTGTCTTTAGTTTGTACAACAACTGTAGCAAATCTAACCATCCAATTTCATTAGCACTTATGGTGAAAAATACGGTTGGTTTGCCTAATTGTCTAATCATTGCAAATAAATCTTTTTTCCTTTCCGACCAATACCAAGTAGAATTAGGTATAGAACGTAAAAAAGCAAGGTTGCTTTCAATGCAATTATGAATATAATTCTCAGCTTGTACTTCCTCTTTCGTAATATTAGATTTTTTCCCTATGTGTTTAAACGCAACGGTAAGAGAATCCCTAACTCTTATTCTCATTATTTTCATAGCAACATATAATAAATGATGAGGTGTTACTCCACGTCTATCTGATCGTCTTAATTCACTAGTTGCCATCATGAAAGGAGTAACAGTAACTCCTTCTCGAAACTGCCGAAATTGGCCCAGGTAAATGGAGGGAAATGACAATTCTTCAGCATGTTCGTCAAATAATAAACTTATAGGTACATTATTTTCTCCTGGAGCTATTCTTAAATACAGGTCGTCATTCCACATTACTGTTTGTTGCTGTGCTAATAAATTTTCTTCAATCGGGATATCTTCCAGTTCATTACCATCATTTTCATTCAGTTCATTATTATCCATTTTGACATCATTTCCACTAGAACCATCCAGTGGAAGTTCTTCGTCATGTTTATTATCAAAAAACTGTTCATCTATGGTTATATTATATGTTCTATAGAGTGGAGTATTCACCAAATATTTTAGCCATGCTTTAATAATGCGTTTATTAATTAGACCGTGTAAAAAACTAGATTTGTGTATTTTTTTTCGCTTGATGTGTACGTAAATACAATGATCATCATTGATATTTCTCGGTAACTTATTAACCATCGTATTGACTTCCATGGGAACATTAATAATTTGTCCATAAATTCCATATTGGCCATGAACATGACGAAGTCTTCTGATTTGCATGAAAGGAATTCTGGGAGAAATCAATCTTTCCGACACTAAATCCAATGGACAATTTTGTAAATTTTCGGGAATTGTAGGGTACTCAAAACCATTGTGTACAGCCATTTTGGGTATCGATTGTTTCTGGATGCTAGTTCGACAAGTAGAACAAACTGTAATGGAATGTTCATCAACATCTGGAAGAAATGTTCGTATGAACTCTACACTATCATCATCTAAAGTCTTCAAGTCCTCTTTAAACCATAATCTATCGCAAATTCCACAAGCGTATCCAAATTCATTCTGTATGAACTGTTTATGAAATTGTATATGGGCACTGCTGTGTTTTGCATAGGTACTGTAAGTCGCCGATGACCTGTTGAATTGTACATCAGGAGTAGGTGAAGCGCACACTTGAACTTGTAAAGGTGCTAAATTATCATTGACATTCAAGGCTTCATTTGCTTCGTTTAGTGGTGTCGAAAGATTTTCACCTATGCGTATTAAATTTTTCGAATCATCGCGTATAATAAGAGGAATATTCATATTTGTGGATGTTCCGGCAATCTGAGAAGTATGAATTGTAGTATTTCGATTTTCGCATGTAACAAGAGGAATTTTCGTAGATGCTTCGGCAATCTGAGAATCATGAATCGTATTTTCTTGATATCTGCATACAAGTGATGTATTTGCATGCGAAGGTCCTGGAATTTGTGAATCATGAACCACATGATGAACAGATTTCAGCGCATTTAGACGTTTCTTTTCACGATACCTTCTCGAGCGTTCCTTTGCCATTGCTTTCTTCCGTTCAGCGATTTTTTCTTGAATCCGCCTGTTTCTCACTTCCTCACTAGGATCATCCTGCATTGAAGAATTCAGGAGCTGCGATTCAAGTTGCTTCTTTTTTCGATATTTTGCAACGCGTGCATTTGTCAATTCCCGTTTTCGCTTCAATTTGTCATCGTCAATTTGATTTTTTTCATCCATCTTCTGTAACACAATATATTTCAATATTTATAAAACAGACACGGTTTATTTTTTGTTTCAATTATTTCAATTTTTTAAATTGTTATATTGTATATAATGTGGCATCAATCGTGTACAATTATATATTTTAAAAATGTTAAAACATACCTGAACGCGTGTTGTCGATACACTGTCTAGAGCGACGGAATGTCAATGTCAATGAATTGACAATTTATAGGCGATACTCTATTCTCCGTCTCTGCTTTGTGCGGTCCTTCGTCTGTCCCTACCAGTTTCGTGCGTAAACTGAAATATCGAATGAGTAAGAGAGGGGCGATGGGACGCTAAATGCTAGAATGTCAGCTGATTATAATCTAGAGTAATGTTGATACTATTATGACGCATCATATCATTAATAAGGTTTGGAAAAATCCAATATAGAAATATATCATTTAAGAAATGTAACATATCTGAGCGCAAAAAATATTTTCTTTATTGGTGAGACGCAGCAAGTGTCTATCTTGTAATCTTAAACACACACTGTTTTTAATGACGATAGATATAATGTCTTATAAATACACGACAAATTCTGTCATATTAACATATGTTCTTACACGTGTATTATGATAAATTATTACGATGAATTACAATCAAAGAATAATTAATTATTCTCAATAATTATATTCAATAATTATTTTGAAAAACTTTTCGCTTCAGAAACGTATTGGTAAAGCGCACTGTACTTAGCGTCGATACTGAATGCGACTGCTTCGTCATGCTCCCTCATGTAACGCTCATTCGTGTTAGTCCGGATTCAGTGCCGAGTTCGGCCGAGTGCGTATACAGCGGTGACGCTTTGACTCTATTTCTCTCTCTTTCTCGCTCTACTGACTGTCTCCCTCAAGGTGGCCATTCACGATCACTCCAAATGGAACCGCACCAAGCCGTACAACTCCANTTTGCTCAGTGACAGAAAGACGGAGACTGCGCCAAAAAAAAAAAACGAGGGTTTTCCCATTCGCGACCAGGCCACCGCGCCAAAATCCCCACCCTCCACGCCAGGTTTTCCTAGATATTTGGAGTGGCGCGATGGAGTTTGGACCGGTCGAATATTCGGCACAGCTAGGCACAAAAGTTCAGTTTTGCCATTGACGTGGTTTTTGGAACGGCGTCGCTCCGTTTGGAACTTTGGACTGCTTGGAGCGAACGTGAATGGCCACCTTCACACTTAGTCGACTCGAGCCGATTCTACCCGAATGAGCGTTACATCTTCGAGCGTGATGGCTCAGTCTCATTCAATACTCACAAAAAAGTGCTGAGCGCGCCTAAAGAAGTTTTCACTTCAAAAAACAATGGGTATCTAGAAATATTTATTGATAGGTTGCTAATTTAAATAATAAAAAAATTACCTTTAAAAGAATCAACAATCAGCCACCCCACCATAAATGAATAATTAAGTTTCCGTTGTTTGCCATAAATTGGTGAATTATCGGAAAAAGTTAGTAAAATTTTTAAACAAGAAGGTTTTAGAGTAGCTTTTAGAAGTACGGGTTCACTTAAAAACATCCTCACAAAATCCAAAGACAAGGTAGACAACTTGGCAAAAAGCGGTGTTAACCAACTTGATTGTAACGATTGTGATATTAAATATATAGGACAAAACGGTAAAAAAATAAAAACGAGAATAAAAGAACACTTGCCTAAATCGAACAAATTTTCGGAATTTAAGGACCACCTAAAAGAAACACAACATAATTTCAATTCAGATTTAAAAACAACAGTGTTACATAGTTTCAACAAAGGGAGAGACCTAGATTGGTTTGAGAAATTTAAAATTAAAAAATGTAAAATTGAACATGGAGATAAATGCATTAATAATATAATAAATTTTGACCTACCTCCCATTTTAAATATGCACATAAATAATATTAAACGTCCAAATAATTAAATTAATTATTTTAATTATTATTATTTTTATAATAATTTAATAATATTAAAGTATTATTCTAATTTTTTATCTTTTATCTTTAATCACTAATTTATAATTCATTTCTTACAGTAGTTACCCTGCTTTTCGCACGTTCAAATTGAGCGCCATTAAAAAACCAGTTTCTCATTGGAACGTCTCGTTGGCGGGGGTATCGGCGGGTTCACTTTTGCAATTCATGTCGAGAGATGTGGTTGTAGAAATACTGATGATGAGCTAAGGGCTCGAAATTAGGACGTTGGAAAACAACTTACTGTGAGTAGGAACTATCTTTTTAAAAAGGATAGGACATTTTATGCTCTCACTGCTTTTGCATCTAAATATTCATTAGAACGTTTTTATACCGCTTTAGCTATGGCACTGCCTGCCTAAGTGCACGAAGAAGATTTTAAGGGCATGATTTTTTAGAATACCCGTTAATTGCTGTCATATATTCATATATATTTATAAGTAATATGAAAAATCAGCCAAAAAGGTCTGCTTAAGTGACTTTGCCGGCAGTGTCATCCATTAAATTCAATTCGAAAATTATCATGATATTCTTATGAGTATTCAGTATCTACTCTATCATAGTACTTAATGCAAAAATGATTAATTAATAGCACACTTTATTATCGCATCTCATACTCAAACTTTATACCGTTTTCCTTCAAGTGTGGATTGTATATATCTACAAAATCTATCTCATGTAATAACTTTGCAGCCCCACCTGTTATTATTGTCAGACACTTCTGTTTAACACCTTGAAAACATACCTTTTGCAATGTCGTCGTAATATGTTTGATCATCCCTATATGGCCGTGATACAAACTTGCTGCGATTGCCTCTCCCGTATATTTACCATACAAAGCAGCCCTATTTAAATTAACATCAATAATTGATCGCGCTGGAATAAAACGTTTGATTGCTTTACTTATAGCACTTAACCCCACAATTATTACTGTGCCATCATATCTATATCTGCTTTTAGAATTAAAGATTTGGTAGTGGCAGTTCCACAATCTATCACAATGCATTGCGAGTTATATAACATTACAGAAGCTATAGCAGCACTTATCATTTGTCCCTAACGTCTCTGGACGACAGAACCGCGATGGCGACGACTACATTGGAGAACGAGGAAGTGAAAGGTCGGCGTTAGAGCGTCTGTTTTTGAAGAAAGGTCACTGACTAGATTGGGGCACGTATGACGGCAAGTAACTTAGAGTTTTCAGAAATGAGAGGATTCAGACAAAGTACGTATAATCGTAGGAAGAAAATACTCCCTCCCTTCCCAAATCGTATGATGAAGCCATCGCACAACTACGAGATTTGTAAGAGTCCGAGGAAGAACCAAAATTTTGTTACATTACACCTGACGGCATACCTATTTTTACGAATTACGACGACGTGCTGTAAGAATGTAGTACTTGTATTATTATTTCTGTTTTTTTTTTTACGACGACCAATGATTCAATTCAGATGGTTCGGTGCACGTTCTTGTATTAGTTACTTGTACTTTATTATTATTCAATTATATTCGTGCTTTCCCCAAAGTTGCCATTTTTCTTGCCCCAAAGTCGTCGCGTTTTTCCCTCAAGCAGTGGTGTTTTCAACCAATTTCCCCAAAGTAGGATCCCACGCAGAATAAAATATGACGGGCGATGAGCTAAGCTGTTTGTTCGCCCAAAAACCGCCTACATTACTTTATTATTATTACTTTTTTCATTTTTGAACCTTCATTGCTAGTTTTTAATTGTATTGCTCTCAACATTTTTCTAACTGGGCGATTATTTTTTTGGTGAATTGATTGAATCTACATATGATTTATTAATGGCATTTATATATTTTTCATCGATAGTCCAGAAATCTCGCGTTTTAAATTTTAACGGAATGAATGCAGTGCAAATTATAATTATTAGTTACGGCCAAAAAAGTTTATTTCTCAACGCTGTAAAGTATGAACTACAAGTACGATGAATATCCCCGAGATGACGGCCATGGGATAGCTGCGAAAGACGTACCCAAACCCAGGAGAGCTTTCTTTTTCGAATAGGTCTAGGTAAGGATAAGCGAGTGTGAAGAGCTGGAGATTATACCCTGGCTGGAAATATCCACCTGTGTTCACCCCGTAGAGCAAGCCATCGCAGATTATAGCCGAGCCGGCATCGCCTACACCCATACTCTCCGCTGAGGCATCCACCGGAACACAGCAAATTTCACCGTCCAGCATCGTGTCCGAATCGTAGACGAGGGTACCTTTACAATATTTGTCATTTTTCGGTCTCATCATTGATACTTTTAGTATATTAGTATAATCTTTGACAAGGGGCTCCGTATTTGTTCCAAACCCCATGACACTGCATGTTTTTCCGCTTCCAAGAAAATCTAGCCAGAGTTGGCGGAACTTAGCCGGGTCGGTCGACGGCAAAACGCCTACCTTGACTCTTTCGCTCTCGGTAAACGGTTTCTCCAAAATCCCAACAGCGAAATCGTGATAGGAAGTCATATCTTTTTTTTTCCTGTATTCTTTGTGCATTTTGTAATCTTTGATATTTCTCTTTTGGTAAAAAGGGTCATCAGTTTTGGTACAGTCCACCACACCGGCTACCATGAAGTGCGTGGTAAGGTCAGTATGTTTCGTCGAGTCCTTGTATTTCTTAACAAGACAATGGGCTGCGGTCATAAATTGCCTCAGTGTTACCAGTGCACCCCCGCATCTGACATCGCCCCACATGCAAAGCTGATAAGGAAATTCGCCCGCCTGAACAACTTTGCCTCCTATTATTTTGCCCTCGTCAGCCTTCAAGAATTTGGCTGTTAAAAGTATCCAGATGAAAAAACATAAAGCCGCCCAGATTTGCTTTTCCATTTAGAATTTTGAATTTTCGAAAAGAAAAAAATGTAGAAATTTTACTCTCAAATAAAAAGTCCTCACATGATTTGAATTTTTTAATTTATTTTTTAAATAACATATTTTCGTTTGACGTTAACAACTTTTTATATGTGTGGTGCTTGAGAGCCTTTATCCATTAAAGTCAATCTTGCATTCTACCTTATTCTTGATTAAAACAACACAAATCGACTGAAACAAGGGCAGAAAAATTTAATGAATATTACATAATATTATAAATAAATGGTTTAATTTCTTTCTCGTCTCCTAATGAGGGCAGGAACGTAGTGTATTTTTCTGCCTAGTACAACCCAACAATTAATTAAAACCTTTGATCCTCCTCTACAGGCTCCCCTTATCAGCAGAAACATGGAAAGACATATTAAACACAATAACACTTGAGGATTCTACAAATATTTTTTTCCTGATCAACTTCGTGTCCATAATCAACGGATTCAAGCTCTTTCCAGCTTGGCCGATTTCGTTTCCTTTGGTGCGGGTCTCCCACTGCCCAACTAAGTCCGCACCATAGGTTCAATTGTGTACCATGAATTTCCATGGTCCCTCACTGTTGGTTGGTATGCTGTACGACTGGAATCGTCGGACGAGTGGCTGAAAAGCTTCGCTCTCTGCCTATATGTCAGCAGGCTATGGATTGTGAGGATGAAGATGTTAGGAAAAGGTAAAAGTACCTCGAGAGTTGTTTAATCCCGAGATCCCTGAGGGTTTTTTTAATGCGCTCAGGTATGCTCCCTCGCGCCCCACTACGACACCAACTGCTTGAAAGAAATGTTTCTGGTGTAGTTCCGTGAAGGCTTCCCTTAATATCACGTATTTCACTCGTTCCAGTGGTTTCATATGCCACCGTGAGGTACAGGACAAATATTCCTTCTCATAGGTGGCGACGATATCCGGCCGGCGTCTAGGCCCATCTGGTGCTCGGAGGGGAGTTTCGTCGTTGAACTGGTATCCCCAATCACGGAGACCAGCGATTAGGACTTAAAGCACATTCTCCGGGCAGGAAAGCACACGGGAGAGCTCCGTATCAGGCCCACATTTCCTATATCCCGCTGGTATACTGGAGTACGCTCTTCTCATCGAATCCCTCGTAGCCATTGTATTGGCCCTAAGACGGAGGGCATATCTATACCTAAAATCAAAGATCCGTCATAAAGTCATTGGTTGCACGTCGCGTTGCCGGCAAAGATCTTCATTCCGTGACTCGTTGCCCCCAAGGCCGCTAAACTCTCCAGCTCCCCGAACATACAATCATCTTGCCAGCGCACGGTTATCTCCATACGTGGCTGCCAAAACAAAGATTGCATGACAGAGGAGGACCTAAATGCCATCAGCTCCTGGGCGTTGAAAATGGACTGGATATCAATATGTCCCAGACTATAGAGTTTAGATCCCATCCTCTTTGTCCAATCCGCGCTGCATTAGCAACCTCCTTTCATCCATCTGTCAAAAACCAAGATCGTCCGGGCTCAAACCCTATCCTCGAAATCACATATTTCCCAAATCTCCCGCCTCTGATTCTCCACCATCCGCTAATTCCGTCATGCAAACCAGTTCTTTCCAATTAGTACCCATATAATCCTAGTCGCCTCCATTGTCCTTCCCTGTTTCAGTATAGCTGTTTGATCTGAGAACTCACCAGCGAGCGTTATATAGCTCCCCAAAGAGATATTTTTTTATTTATTAATTCATTTATTTATTAACAAATGCACTTTAAAGAAAATTATAACAAACTGATAATCCCAGTGAAAGAGAGAAAGTGAGATGAAAATGGATTTAATTTAAAAGTAGTTTGTTCCTTTAATTTATGTATCCCTTCATGTTTTACATCAGTAAAATTTGTAGACGGCTAGTCATATAACATATTAAAAAATGTACGAAATAACAAACAGAACATTAAAAAGAAACAGTTTTATGTAAGGTTTTGGTTGAAATGAAAAAGTTTGTGTCACGTGCGGGATTCGAACCCACGACACCGCTTGAGCTATCGTGACACCGTGACTCGTGGGTTCGAATTTATTTATTAATGAGATATTTATTTATCTTAAATTAGTATACTCCAGCGAATATTGTGTAGACTGCCATAGGGCAGGACCCACCCTCAAATGCCATGTTAATCACACTTTTTGAATGTGCTGTATATCAGTATTTATTAGCAAAACATAATGTGTATGTACACAAGAGTTAAATAAAATAATTAATAAAAAAAAAAAAAAAAAAAAAAAAAAAAAAAAAAACAAGATCATAATTAGTTATAAAAGAGAAGGAAAAAAGCGTAACTGTGACGTCAGTAAACCACTGAGACGACATAATTTTTAGACCGGACCCGGGAGGTTACACGAATGTCAACACAACAGCGTCTTTGATCAGCCGTGGTTGCGGGCGATGTCGACGGTCAATCAGGTCCGGTGATCCTCGTATATCTATCAAAATAATTTAACAATACAATCCGGCGCTTTTTTCCTACTGTGCTTAAAAAATATTAAGCCGCATCCATGATTATGGACGTGCTTTACATACTCAGACGGAAGCACATCGTCTCCAACAGGACGTTCAACGACTTCGATTGGTAATCTTTCTCTTGTCATGCCTGGTTTTTCAGGCTTGATCATATCCATCGACTGGTACTCAATTTAGATTATTATTAACTGCATGTCATTTATTACAGCCTGCACGAAGGCAATTCTCTGTGCTGCATATCCGTCAAGAATGTGGTCGCTTTCACTACCAGGACCGAGCTAGAAGACACGAACGGAAAGTCATACGGGTGCCATGTCTACGTCGCCGACCTCAACACACCGTGGCACAGCTACAAGTAATTTTTATTTACTGTCTCTGCAAAATGAAAATGTTTAGATCTGGTTAAGATTGAAATTTTGAGCAGGGTGACGTCAAAAAATGATTCTGTCCTTGCGTTGGAGTGGGATGCGGCAGGAGAGCGACTGCTTTTAGCAACTGAATCAGGTGATGTGTCTCTATGGTCATCTAAGGACCATGTTCTCAACTCCTGGAGCTGTATCGGGACTGCTCTTTTTCCCGGAGAGTCAATTATTGGGGCTGCTTTTTTCCATAATGGAAGAAAGGTAAACAAGATCAATTTTAACTTATGAAAATTGTGAATTCATGTGTGGTGTTGAGTGACCGTTAATTAATGATTATTTGGAAATCGTGTGATGTGGTCTTGTGTGATGTAGGTTTAGAAAAACCTTTTCTTTATTGTGCCAATGTTTCGATTTTATTTAGATCATCTTCAGAGCCTGGGATTTACAAACATTGTTTAAATTATACAAATACATGTAAGATGTGAAAATGAATTTATACAATGATGTACACAAAGTAGAAATTTAGATTAATTAAGGTTTTTAGTTGAGATAAAAAGTCAGTTTCACGAGTGGGATTCGAACCCACGACCTTCGGCTAGATACACCACTACTCTACCACTTGAGCTATCTTGACTTCGATCCACTCGGTCAGCAACTTCCCATCTTAACCCCACCTTTTGAATTTTCCCTCCTTTTTGCCATTTTTTATCTCAACTAAAAACCTTAATTAATTGAAAGATAGTAATTGGTCAAGTGGACCACGAAAACTAGTGAATTTAATAAGTTAAAATGAAGTATACTTCACTAAAGCTCTCCGTGGCCATTTCATTTGTTGCTGAGAATCAAATAGATTACACGACATTTGAAAAATGGCAAAAAAGGAGGGAAAATTCAAAAGGTGGAGTTGAGATGGGAAGTTAGTGTCCGAGTGGATCGAAGTAACGATACCTATCTAACTGAAGGTTGTGGTTCGAATCCCGCTCGTGACACTGACTTTTTTATCTCAACTAAAAACCTTAATTAAATGAAAGATATTAATTGGTCAAGCGGACCACGAAAACTAGTGAAAAAAACAAACTAAAAACAAAAACTAAAAAAAAAAAACTAAAAAACAAAAAACTATGATTTGTTTTTAGATTAGTATTGTCGCAGAGAAGAAGGACAGTGTTATATACAGTGAGAAGATGAGCCATATCAAGTTTTCCCCATCTGTTCGCGGATTCGGTGGAGGCGCTGTCGAAGGATGCCTTGTTCTCACCGGTACTGGCATAGTGGGCGCTGCAGCTTTGAGCAAAGAGACTCCTTGCTCCGGCCGGCTCATAACAGCCGCAGAAAGCCTGGCTCCAACCAGGGCGATAATCTCTACAGCAGATATCTCTTATGGAAAAAGTAGGTGTTTCATCCCCCCCCCCCCCCAAATATGTTGATTTGACCGTGTTTCTTTTTCTTTCAGATGGCCAGTTTGTAGTTGCAGTCAGTAACGGTGATGTCTGTAGGGTGCAATGTTATACAGTGTCAGTCAAACTTATTGACGATAATTTAAGCATCAGCTCGCAAGCTCTTCCAAGCTTTTTTTTGCAAAGTTTTAAGGCCAATGGACCAGGTAATTGTTTACACTATTTTATTATCTTGATGTAATTAATAACAGCTTTCAACATTTTGTTTAACTATATAACTATTATTAATAATTTACAAGTTTTAAACATTTAACATTAATAATTGATTTTATAGTGTATACATAAGTTTCAGATGTTCATATTTATTTCATTAATATTAAAATTGATTAGTAGCAGTTTCAAGGTCCTGATGAAGGTTTTATTTTTTTATTATTTTTTTAAATGGCTTTATGAACTATAGCCCGAGCACATACATATTGTTTGATGTATGATATGTTGTTGCGGAGGTGCAGGTAGTGTGAAAAAATGGGCCAGGTACAGTGGTGGGAATGGAACGGAGCTGAGAGTTGTATCATGCTAACTGAAGGGAATATATCCCTCAAAAGATTAACAAAGAAAGTAAGTGATTAAATCGTGGAAAGACAAGCCAAAACAAAAAAGTCCTATTTGACTAAGTTCCACATCATGAAATATTGAAAGATGACAGAGTTTTCTTTGAAAATTTAACTTAGCCCTCTTTTTATACTCTAAAATTATACTGTATTATAGAAATGTGTTAATTTGTATATAACTGATGGACAAATTTAACGCACCTCTCAATTTATTAAGTTTAAAATTAAATTCATTATCTTTTTACATTAGTTACAGGTACTTAAGAGCTATCGCAGTCAAAATAAAGAATAAATAATGTTTTATTTACTTCCTTTTTTTACTTTTGTACAACTTTTTTTTACAACGGGGAACTTGTTTGCATTGTGTAGTGCAAAGTAGAATGAATAATATAAGCTTAGGGAAAATTGGCATCAGGTCATGTTGCATTGTGTTGCGTCAGGGGTGTTCCCAGCGTAAAACAACCGGTCAACTGTCACCCTACATTCTCCTATTTTTTTCCCGAAATTATGAGTATGAAATATGAAGCTATTCTAAGGATGTTGAAGGATGATAGAGAGAATGCCGGCTGGAGGGTTCTTCCTGCTAAGTTCTTTCAAACAACGTGCTGCCATTCGATTTAAGTGGTAACAGCCAGCCATTAGGTAAAAGGTTAAGAAAGGTAAAGACCACCTGAAAAACAGCCTCAAACCCTAAATACTCTAATAGGAAGCTATGAGCTTGGAAATTGTTTGCATCCTTAGTTCAGTTGGTCATGCTCCATCCATTTTCCTGATCTGGTTCATTGAGTCACCTTTGAAACTGATCGTGGTCATTCATCTACTGACGCTTTCTTTTGCCTATTTTGGGTTGACCCGTTCTTGACTGTATTTGCTACAAGAGGGTATGGGATAAATACCTCCTTTAGTTAATTTATTTGACCAGGGGTGGGGGGAAGAAATAAATTAAATAAAATGTAAATAATTGCATCTGCTCAATAGTATAATAGTTTTTTTACACTATCCTATCTGTAACTCCACTGGTGCCCTCTGCCTCTATGGGTGGTTTGTGGGCCTGAGATCACTCTCTGGATGCAGTTGCCCACATTGAGTGCCCACACCACATTCCACATTGAAATCGGTGAAAGATTGTCTATAATAAAAGTATGGATGTAGTAACATCGAAAGCAGCCAAGAGGCACTGGTTATGGTGGGGTTGCGGGCAAGAGGGCATGGAGGCTACAATAGAACAGTGGACTAATAGCGAAAGCTGTCACTAAATTTCTTAAAATATTTTTATGTTATAGAAGGCAAAGTAACAGGATTGAAATTCGTTACTTGTGAAGACGCAGATTCATTAGTCGTATGCGCGAACACATCTCAAGGAGGGGTTGTCGAAGTCTGGCAGCTAACAGAGAGAGCAGTCCCACTCCACAGAATTTTTCAAACACTTTCTGACCCTTTCAAGACAGTTGTAAGTAATATAAAATACAATGTTACAGTATGTTGTATTTATTTATTTATTTTTGCCGAAGGCTTGGCAGTTTGAAAGCAGTTACATTACCAGTTCACCCATAACTTGTGTTACAACTTGTAAAGTCGCTCTGACCACATCTGTGCCACCTCCTTCTTATGTGATGGTAACAACCAGTGATGCGACACTACACTGTCTTTACAGGGATTCACTCAAAGTTGTAGGTAATTTAGAGTAGAAGTCCCCATAATAGAAATTTACACGGTGGATGTGCAGGTGGCGACAAGATCAATTGCATGTGCTTGGCAAGAAGACACAATAAAACACCAAAGACTGAGCACAAAAATCACCCACATGGATTTGACTTGGCTTGGTTGTGCCTTGGCGCTCGTTGATTCGCACGGGCAACTCTATGTGTTAAGAGTGCCACCGATTTTAGAACCTGGGGTCGGAATGACAGTGATAGTGGCGAGTACGCTATTGGAGTATTGCCTTGTGACCGGTACGGACAATTGGGATGTGCTCGTCTCCATACAGACACCGATTGTGGATGCCATTGTTGACAGAATCACTGATAACTATGCTAGACAGCCACCAAGTTCCCAACAGTATTACTACGCTAGTCATCTGTCTTTGAGAATGGCTTTAGCAAGGTTAACTCACAATGGACAGACTCGTGCAGCAGACCTCACGGCTTTACTTATGCTGCATACGGTTTCTGCAGCTTTCACTTCACTGTTGCGCCCTTCTGATTCATCACACGATAAAGGCCCAACTGAAATCCTTGCAGGTCAGTCTCATCATATAATTTTTTTTTTCATTGTTTACTATAAATTTTATTTTCCAGCTCTTTTGGCCGATAATTTAATAGATGTCGACAAAATTTTGATGCATCTGGATGGAAAGGATTTTACTGTCGAGCCGAGCACGCTTCAGTCCCTCCAGCAGCTCATTCAATGGACTGCTGACTTGGCACTCAACATACTCGCTAGAATACCAGAACAGTACAAAGTTCAGACAGTAAGTGAACCAAATTGCAAATGTATTTGGTTGGATTTTAAGGAGCTGTAATTTTCAGAGTGAACTCGGAAGAGATCTGAAAGCAATCAACTCTTTGAGGCAGCTTCTTGTCATCGTGAGGATCTGGGGCCTGCTCAGGTCGACATGCCTTCCGATGTTTGTACGCAGTGCCGAGAATCTCGATGTCCTCGCCCTTCTTTTCAAACTCTTGTCGAAACTCGTCCAAAGCCATGAACCAGACGAAACTCTCATTGGTAAGTGATCCAGTTGAATGTATAAATGGTGTAGATTTCTGTTAATTAACACTTTCGGGACTTGGGACAAAATATCTCGTTCAACATAAATCAGGATGAGGTGGAATCCAATGTGTGGCAGGGAACTAGGTTAATGAAGACGTCCCACACCCTTCCTTGTTCAACGAACCATTCTTTTACCACCCCTTTCTGTTCCCATTCTGGGCTTTTCAACTTCCGTGGCACATTTCTTTTTCAAGTAAACCATTCGGCTACTTCTCTGTATTATTGGGGACACCCCAGTTTCCTTCCCTTATCGCTCCTGCCCTTTCCAACCCTCTACCCTCTCATGTTTCTGAGCATAAGTTTTAATTTTACATCGTTTGCATTCTTGGTGCATTTTAAAGTATTTTTCTGGTAATTGTTTACAAAATTTCTGAGAAATGTATAAATATGGTTGAAATCTGAGAATTCTCGTGGGAAAATTCAGCGACAGTGAATTTTTAGAAACAGATGATGGCTTGACTTGGATCAATTTAAAAAAAGTTTATGGGATAAAGTGGCTAGGGCAAATGAAATACCTTCAGTTTAGGTTGAACATCTATATTTCCACCGAAGGTAAACCGCGCTAGCATCCAGTTCTTTTATTCTTCAAGTTTCAACTTCAGCAACAACTAATCGAAAAGGAAAATATTTTTAATTCTTCTACTCTACTCAACTATTGGGCTGGTGAAAAAATAATGCAGGTTTTAAAAAGGCAGTCAAAGCTGTTTTTAATTTTTATAAAGTAAAGAAAATTTATTCAAAATATTTTTCATCACAATATGCATTTTTGCCAATGTGTAATAAGTGCTTCTATTCCGCTGGCATAAAAATCTTTATTTTGATTTACTGTAAAGTCTCGGACGGCTTTTTCAGCCTAGAGTTTGGTACCTAAAGTCTAAGAATCTTCTAATTTTATAGGCATTAAATTAAGTCTGAATTATGAGTCACTGTGTCCAAATAATTTGATTCTGATTTTATAGATACCTATTTTGCCTGTTTGCGAGTTTAAGAGATGCTAAACCTCCAATTCTCGAAGGTCATGCGTTACTGTATAACCACAGCCTTACACCCCTCTTTTTTTCATTTTCAGAATGTTATTTTCTTTCCACACCAGTTTTTATTTTTAGAAAAAGTCGATTGAGGACTATTTTAGAATAATATCATAATCTTATAATAATTATATTCTTGTTCTAATTATTATAATTGTTTATGATTTTATAGATATCTTTTTTTTGCATGTGTGTGTGTTTAACCATAATAACGTTTAATAATGTTTAACCATAATAATGTTTAACCTAACCATCCCTAACCATAATCTTATTGTTCCCTGATTTTTTAAAATTCAATTTCCTGTTCATTTTAAAGCCAGACAATCCGACCACATCTCAAATATTTCATTGATTTCTTGAGCGATATTGGAAATTCTGACCAGTCTGATTTTAGTAAAGTAAAAAGGAAAACAAAACAAAAAATATCACACACAGTTTGACCCTGTGTATTTCGCCCAAGTTCAAATTCGTACATATAAATTTGATGAGAATCTACGTTGGACATATTTGATTTCAAAGGTCCTCACTCTTATAAAATGCAATGTAAACTAAAATGTTTTGTTTAAAAGTATTTATTATAATCCATAAGTTTGATTTGAGGATTTAGCTTTGTTTACATGACAATCACTTGCAAAAATAAAACAAATTTTAAAAACCTGCATTAATTTTGCACCAACCTAATAGATGGGATAAACCAACTCATTGTCAAGTCCCCCCCAAGGCAGGAATTTTTGTTATGGGTTGCAAAAACCCTAAAGCCTTGTATTGGGTTGTCCGGAAAATAATGCAGGATTTTAAGTTTTCATTAAAAAAAATCTATATAAAATATTCTGTTTACGTTTACAGGATTACTCATTTGTATGAATGTCAACACTTATTAATCCTCTTCCAAATGATATTGTTTGTTTANATTGAGAGTATGGGAAATTATTTTGATTAAAGAACATTGCTTTAAAGTAACTAGTTTCTTTTTTTTTGTTTAATACCAAAATCCTGCATTATTTTCCGGACAACCCAATACTTTCAACGTTTCAACTGTTTTTTTCCCCCCTGATGAAGTTATTATCTACATATTGAACAGACAAAGCCAGAAGTTGTGGTTGAAGTGGGGAGCACACCTGATACATCGCAATGTGACATGACCCAACGCCCATACCTTGTCGCATGTTGGTGCAGACAAAACAATGTATATCTGAGTAGTATTCACTAAATGGATCGCTATGAAGAAGACATGGAATAAATGACAATAGCAGTGATCAGCTTGCTTTCAGCGCCTAACAGAAAAACTAGAGGTGTGTCTAGTGAATGTCAAAATAAGAAAATGCTGATCGATTCAGTATTTTGTATTTTCAGATGATGAAACAATTCGATTATCTGCATGGTGAAATAAAGGAACGGATCAGGAAATCAAATAAAAATTATTAAATACCATGTATTAGATACCATTTACCATATAAAAAAAATATGTACCCTCAAAGACAAAAAAAAGGTGTATTTTGTTTATTTCAAACCATTGCAGGCACCCCAGGTAATAAATTATTAGTTAAATTCGTTATATCACTAAATGGTATTCCGGTATTTAGGTTTATTCTATTTTACATATCAAAAATAGGTTTAGTTGTAAAAATAATTAATTTAAAAAGAAAATGGTTATTTCCTAAATTTAAAACAAAACATTTATTAAGTTTTAAAAAAAAACTTTTTATTTGTTTTTTACAACTGCATTCTTTGATGCAACAAGTAAAACAGATAATATGTACATATAAACACATTAACGGAAGCATGAAAGCTTGAACAGTTACCATCCATTGATGGTAGCCATTAGTAAATCAATACGATGAGCGAGATGTACTCCGTCGTAGGAGACTGATGTCAACTGTTAAGGTTGTCGCGGGGCCACCGACGCTTCAGTCTTCTGTTGGGATTATTAGCTAATGTGGTGGATGACAGGTTTTTGACGAAAGGAATGGAACGTTTTGTAGCGGGATTGGGCTAGCTCGGTAACAAAAGGGACATTTAGGTCGTTATGGAGGGTGTGATCGGATACATAGAAAGGGGCGTTGACTATTGTTCTGAGGATTTTAGATTGAAGGGATTGGATCCGATTGAGGTTGGAACGCTTAGCAGTCCCGTAAAGTTCAAGTCATATGTCCAAATGGGAGCCAGGAGGGGAATGTAAAATTTTCTTTTGTTTGTTACTGAATAAAGGAAAGGAGCGAGCACACTGCCCTGTGGGACACCTGCTAGAATAGGATGTATAGGAGACAATGAATTTTTGTGGCAAACTTGGAAGTAATGATCGTTAAGATAGGATTTTAGGATAAGGTAATAGGTTGCTGGCAGGATGTTCTTGAGCTTCGACAGCAGCCCAGAATGTCATAATCAGTCAAAGGCTTGGTGTATATCCAAGAACACACCCGGGCAATATTGTTTTAGATCAACGGTGGAAATAACATCGATTATGCGATGTGCTTGTTGTACAGTTGAGTGGCAACTCCGAAAGCCGAATGGTGATGGGGAATTGTGTTTGTAGGAATTTCCTTGGAAAGTGGATCAATGGGAGCTTTTCCAGTATTTTGCCAATAATGGGCAAAAGACTGATGGGTCGGTAGGAGCTAGGAAGGTGATTTGGTTTCTTAGGTTTTGGGAGCATCCTGATGGAAGAAAATTTCCAACAGGTGGGGAAATGGGTTGTATGTAGGGCAGCGTTGAATAGGTAGATTGTAAAGATAATGGCTTTTTTTAGGTAGTTGGGATAGGATGATTGGAGTGATTAGTTTTTAACCTGGGCATTTCTTTTTGGAAAGGTTTAGGAAGGCATGCTTGACTTCATTAGGAGAGAAAGGTTTTGGAGGGAGGGAGAGAGGGTAATTGTTTGTCAAGTTCATTAAGGATTTTTTCAGAATGGTGGAGGTCTTGGATGCCTGGACGAGGATTGAATACCGCAGAGAGGTGTTGGGCTTTGTCCTCTTCGGATTTGGCCCAAGTTCCATCTGCCCATTGTAGAGGAAGAGATGTGGTTTTATATTTGAGGATTTTTCTTGTAGCAGTCCATAGTGAATTGTCGACAGTAGTTAGTGATTGGGTATAAGTCGAGTATTGGTTGTTTAGGTAATTTTGCAGTTCATTGGATAAATGTTTAATCAAATGATTAAAAAGTCTTTTGTCGGAGGGGTATCGAGTGTGATGCCATCGAGCTCTTGCTCGGCGCTTGAGGGATATCAGGTGTCTTAGTTGGAGGGGTAAATTGTGTGGTCGAGTTGCAGTTCTTCTTGTCCTAATATAGATTGTGTATGTTAAGTATGAACATAATGAATGCATGAATGTATTTATTAAGATTAATTAAGGTTTTTAGTTGAGATAAAAAAGTCAATGGCACAAGTGGGATTCGAACCCACAATCTTCGGCTTGATACACTGCTGCTCTACGACTTGAGCTATCGTGACCTCGATCCACTTGGACACTAACTTCCCATCTCAACCCCACCTTTTGAATTTTCCCTCCTTTTTGCCCTTTTTCAAATGTCGTGTAATCGGATTGGATTCTCGATGACAAATGATAGCTCAAGTGGTAGAGCAGCGGCGTATCTAGCCGAAGATCATGGGTTCGAATCCCGCTCATGCCATTGACTTTTTTATCTTAACTAAAAACCTTAATTAATTGTAATATATTAATTGGTCAAGCAGACCACGAAATTACTGAATTTAAGTATTTATTAAGTAAGAACAAATTAATAAAAATAATAAAAAATTAAAAAAATCAACAGAAAAAAAGCTTTTTTCCCTGTTAATATCAAGTATTTCCACCTTTGGCACAAATCATGTGAGTTAAATGTCATTCCTTGGGAAAGATTTCTGGTAAAATCCTGATGAATTATTTCCCATTAATCAAGAACTCTTCTAAGATGAAAACCATAATTCTTATGTGTTCCAAAATGGTATTTATGTAAATCACTAAGTTAGTATATTTATTTATACATATTTTTAATGTTGAATTATTTTTACTTGTTTTCTATTAATTTTTCTGCTAGCGACAACCCCTCTGATAGCCTGAGGAGGGCCCATGAGTATGCCGGTCAAATTATGTTATAGTTACGAATGTATTTTATTTGTGTTTTTCTCTTCTATAAAATTATTATGATTAAATTCACTAATTTTGTGGTCCGCTTGACCATTTAATATATTACAATTAAATAAGGTTTTTAGTTGAGATAAAAAAGTCAATGGCACAAGCGGGATTCGAACCCACGATCTTCGGCTAGATACGCCGCTGCTCCAGAACTTGAGCTATCTCAACCTCTCATTTGTCGCCGAGAATCAAATAGATTACATGACATTTGAAAATTGGCAAAAAGGAGGGAAAAATTCAAAAGGTGGGGTTGAGATGGGAAGTTAGTGTCCGAGTGGGTCGAAGTCGCGATAGCTCAAGTGGTAGAGCAGCGGCGTATCTAGCCGAAGATGGTGGGTTCGAATCCCGCTCATGCCATTGACTTTTTTATCTCAACGAGAAACCTTAATTAATCATATTATGTTATAGTTACGAATGTATTTTATTTGTGTTTTTCTCTTTTATAAAATTATTATGATTAAAATAAAAAATAAATAGTATTAAAGATGGGAATGCAGACAAAAACCGACACCGTATGGTAGATAAGAAGTAAAATAAAAATAAAACAAACCGACTACAAATTTTCAGAATTATTTTTTCATTTTAGACGAATGCTGCTTGCTTCCCAGTCAGGTGATGATTCCTCAGATCAACCCGACGACTCCAATAGTCGGGATTGCAGTACCTTCACTTGCCTACCATGGATTTCCAATACAAGTATAAAATAAAATTTAAAAAAAATAAAAAAGAAATGACTTTTATATAACAATTTAATTTTATCAGTTGGAATTTGGCGTCGAACCGGATAGTCTTGTATTTGAGCCAGAGCAGAACAACTTAGAAGGATGCCTTGCGACAGATCAAAGTCTAGACACTCTGAGACACATCTACCTTGGAAAACAACCGTACATGGTCAAACAGTGCTGCAGGTGTTCAATAAAATCATATTTAACTTTTGCTTTATAAAATAACCGTTTGAGTAAATAGCTAATAAAAAATATTCATTTTCAGAAAATGTTGTGTATTTAAATATTTTACTTTTATTCAACAGTATTTGAAAGTTTAAATATTTATTGTTTAGGTGTGGTGGAAAAGCTCAACTTCCTGGGTCGACAAGGAATTCAGCTTTGAGGGCATGGGATCTTAGATGGCTCAGGGCCTGCCGCTGTGGAGGGACTTGGAGGGTGCACAAATATTAAGAACATATTTCGTCAATTTACAAGTTGCTTTTAATGATAACCGATCCTTGTAAATAATATTTTAAAAGCATTTTCCAATTTTGTAAATAGCTACTATAAATACATTTATAGCTGTTTCTATGACAATACTTTATAATTTTATAAAAGTGGCTATTGGATGAAAATATATTTGTATTAATTTAACAATTGTACGTTTTTAGTAGTCCTCTTGGTAAAATTGAATCAACATTCAATCGGTTAACGTAAAAAACAAATAGATCGTAAGTGCTGAAGAAGAGGAAATTTTATTTTAAACTGGCACTTTCTTTTCCAATAACCTGATACAAATGTAGATGTAAATTGAGGGGAATTAGGCATATTGCGCCTTTTGTATCACCTGTTCTGTACCTATAGCACACCAGTGACTCCCAAGTAGAGGAATTTAGTTATTTGGTCCAGTTTTAGTGGTTGAATTTCTTCTGAGGATGAGGTGTACATCTCAAAGCATTTCCTTGTGTGGGCAAGTGCAGATTCCAGTCTGTTAACTGGTTCGTTGGAGACTCTTCACAGAACCTGCATATGCAGCGTTCAGTCCTCAAAATCGGAATGTGCTTCCGTTGATGTATTCTATCCGTTATTTCTTTCCAAATTTCACCAGGAGCTTTATAACTATTTGTTTATGATATTTCAAGGGTGGAAAATCGTAAAAAAACTAGGTGAAAAATAATAAATTTCAAACTAATAAACTGTGATAGAAAAGAAAAATGCACACTACTGTGATAACACCAAATTAATTTAATAACTTCTTTATAAATGTAGGTAAAAATATGACAAAAAATCTACAATACGTCAAAAACCATAGAATCAATTTGTCTGTTGATAGTTATAAGTTTTATTTTGAGAACTGAATGGAGGCACTAAAGATCGTACAGCCATTAAAAAAAGTTCAGCCAGTGATAATTTTGCCCTGAATGTCATAATTTTAAAGCATACAGCAGGTTTTTTTTAAAACGAGGGTTCGCAACAGCGGAGGTCATATCAACCCTCCGGGTGCCAGTGTTTTTGAAAAAAAGCCCATTTGTAAGTCTGTCGGGCTCGAATGCAGGGCTACTGGATTCGAACCCGGCACCTTTACCTTACAGAGATGAGCGCCATGTCAAAGCCTAAACCATTGCGGCCACCGACGCCCCTAGCAGGTTACAACATTTATGTAACCTAATAAACGAAATTATGTACGAGGGTACTCAGAGTCTAAAAGTAGCAGTGGTTATACTTCTCAGTGAGCACAACACCAACTGCAACCCTGGAAGTGTTGTTAAACCACTTCATACAATCCAAGGGGAAGCCAGAGCAGCAGTCCACAGGCTCATAAATGGACAACCTTCTGCAAGGAAAGGCTATGTAAATAAACAATAGAAACTGAGGGAGGAGATAAAGGCAGATGCCATATTAGGCATGCCAAGTGATGCTACTACTCCAAAATACAATTTTACTAAAAAGTACGATGTACTGATACCAGAACGGGAAGAATGGGCCAAAGAAACATTGCTAAGGGAGTCTTTGGATGAACTCAAAGACCAAACTGAAGGAAAACCTAGGTAAATATGCTACAGTTCCTGAAAAGGCCAGTCACATGTGAGGTGAAGGCAAAGAGTGTTTGTAACTGCATGGAGGCCCTGATGGAAGTTGACACTAATGACCTGACCCTGGCACGGGTCCCTGGGCACTTAGGGCATAGAGGTAATGAAAAGGTTGACAGGTTGGCCAAAGACGAGGCCAACTTGAACTGGGTCTTGAACCTTACATGGCTTAGCATCCTGCCACAAAAGAGGTTACATCTTAAAATGATCCTTAATGAGTCCAAAACCTGGTGCAATAACACCACACACGAAGAGATTCATAGAAGGACCATCTGCAAAACTTATAAAAGAATTACTGGAAAGCAACTGCAACCTAACCAGGATTCTACTCCTGGACTGACATTGTGTTCCCGAGTACTCATCGTCAACAAGACAAGAGGAGCTTTAGCGTCTGCACCTGGCACATGGCCTTATCGGACGTTTTGATTCTCAAGATGAGAGCTGACGCACTTCTGTATACGACGGAATGGTGTTACCGCCGCAGCATTGGTGTAGAGGTTTCCCAGCCCCTAAGGGCCAGTACAACCACGCTCTCCGCTCGTCCACTCCGAATGGTCGGGCCCGCATTGTGCATCGGGTCTTATGCCGCACGCGAGGGGCTAACAGGCCGAAATACATCGCCCCCCCCGCGTACTCCCTAGATAGAGAAGGCCACTCTATTTCTCTGAGTATAGAGGCTCCCCCAGCGTAGAAACTTCCGGGAACGCTCCGGCAGCGGTTTAGTTTAAAGTGGAATTGCTAACCCCCTAGATGAGCACCGCCTACGGTAAAGTCTCTTATCAAGCTCAGCCTAGGTGGTCCGATCCTTCGCTTCCCCAAGGGTACCACGCCGGTCAACAATGCAAAGCATACTCGAGTCCGAGACACCGATTCACTACTCGCTTCCATTCGCTTACTTACGCATTCGAGGGACTATAGCGTCCTGATCATTGCGTCCTCAACGCTTATATGCTGTCGTCCGGTTGCAACGTCTCCCGTGAGGCCGGGGGTTTTTACATTGGCCTTACGCAAGATTCACTGAGGTCACAGATAGAAGACAGCCTCTGTCTAAGTTCCCGCCAGGAGCGTCACCACGCACCACCACGAATCCATTCCAAGTGTAACTAACTCCTGGACTGACATTGCTTTCCCGATTACTCATCGTCAACAAGACAAGAGGATCTTTAACGTCCGCACCTAGCCTATGCGGCCTTATCGGACGTTTTGATTCTCAAGATGAGAGCTGACGCACCTCTGCATACGACGGAAAAGTGTTACCGCCGAAATACATCAGCCCGTCCCCCCCCTAGCGTACTCTCTAGATAGAGAAGGCAACTCTATATCTCTGAGTGTAGAGGCTGCTCCAGCGTAGAAACTTCCGGGAACGCCCCGACAACGGTTTCGGATTATAGTGGGATTGCTACCCACCCCCTAGATGAGCACTGTCTACGGTAAAAGGTCTCTTATCGAGCTCAGCCTACACCTGCTGCACGTAATCGAGGGACGCCATAGGTCTAGCCTAGGTGGTCCGATCCTTCGCTTCCACAAGGGTACCACGCCGGTCATACGCACAACAATGCAAAGCATACTCGAGTCAAAGACCGCCGATATCACTACCCTTTTCCAATCGCTTACTTACGCATTCGAGGGACTGTAGCATGATCATGACGTCCTCAACGCTTACATGCTGTCGTCCGGTCGCAACGTCTCCCGTGAGGAACGGGGGGTAATACATTGGCCATACGCAAGCTTCACGAAAGGTCCCAGATAGAAGACAGCCTCTGTCTAAGTTCCCGCCAGGGGCGTCACCACAAGCCACCACGAGTCCATCCCAATGTGACTCTGGGCTGGTTTTTGAAACGTTGAGTCACCCCGTGGTACAGATGGCCATACAACCCTCCCCCGTCTTTGTAGACAGGATCTGGTGCACTGGCCCTCGTGTGACTCTGCTAAGGCACCCGCCGCCCCTGCCGACCCTGAGGCCGACATAAGACAGCTTGTGCTTTAGAGAGGTTGCCACGCCCTCTGGGCTGCACCATTATTTTGTGCCCGGATACCCCCCTTGTAACCAAGGGTTAGGAGGGGTCACAGGATAGAATGAAGGAATTCGGATTGAGAAACAGGGCCGTGGAAGAGAACACGAGGTGAGCCGTTTCGGGGTCTCGAGTCTCAACCACATTATACCACCCGTTGTCGCCGTGGTTCCACATAGTGTGGGCCATGACTCCCAGGGTGGGTGAGGACTGACAGGGCACTATCATTTAAGAAAGCACATGCTAAGAGTATAGACAGAAGAAACACTGTGCAGATACTGCCAGGAAGAGTGGAAGGCCGCAGAACATATTTTATGTTTTTGTGAAGGTCTATGTAGGTGCAGGTTCTTGAAACTAGGATACGAAAGCGAGCAAGATCCTACACTAAGGAGCCACAGGCAAGAGGCTATGGAGGTTGATTAACAACCTGACCCTGGTCAGTGAATTATAAAAAACAGGAGAGCGTGCAGAATGCCTTGAGGCCACCTCTTTTATCCGTATCTCTACTTGTCTACAAAAAGGTTATACGTTAAGGGGACCATAATGATGAATACATAGATGTGCCAACCAAACCAAAATATTGCTTCAAAGTGATTGGAAAACAGGTGGATTTTATTTTCAGTAATGGGCTATGCAGGGGTGATCAATGGACGGAAATTATTCACGATAGTCGAAGGATTAAAGCAATACCAGTAACAATAAAATAGGACGTTCTAAAAGGATTTTAAAAATAATTAGGAAATTGAAAAAAGGTCATTTTTATCGACTCACCCCAATACATGTGGATGTCTACTTTTGAAAATTTATTATTTAAAAAAAAATCATACATACACAAAACTATGCTAACACTATACTAAGCATTTTAATTATCAAGAATTAATATTAATCCGGACTTGGACGGCCAAACGTCTATATAAGGCTGGAAGATCGTGCCGGTATTCGGCCGACTCACATTACATAGAAGTTCGTCCACTCCGCCATGCCTGTTTTAGAAATGATAATAAATAAATAGCTCATACAACTGTTGACAGCTGTCAGTATGAATAAGACGTGACCCGATTCAAACGCCCAACATTCAAGAAATTGTAAAAAAAAGAGTTTATTTTGAAATAAGAAGATCCACTTTGAAGTTGAGCTAGTAAATCTGGCCACATTTGGCTAAAAAGGCACTCTCTTAATAAATAATGTAACATTTATGACTGATAATACTTAAAGATTACAGGCTAAAAGCGAAATCCATATACACAAAAAGAGATTTTTTTGCGTACATAAAAAATAAGATCACATCGATTGTCTTCACGTTTACATATAAAAAATGTAAAAAATTATGCCTGGAAATATTTACATAAGTAAAGTTTTTCATTGGGAAATGAAGGAGGAGTAAAGCTCTGCGAGGTGACGGCCGCTCGGTGCGCGTCTCTGGAGGACGAGAAGGCAGGAGCTGGCATCCCCAGTCTTATACGTAATTTTTGTCTAGTTGCAGTTTCGTTCTGGTCGGTGCCGGTCTATTTGAGGTTCATGAAACATCTGGGCCTGTTGGAAAGTTGCGGAGGAGCGGAGAGCAAAGGCTGCTTTGAGAGCCGTTTCAGTCTGCAGCACATGGCGGCGAGGGCGACGGTCAGCATCGTCAACAGGGTCGCCACGGCGGCGGAAAGCGATGCCACCAGCCCGCTCCTCAAGCACACCGAATTGCCAAGAGGTCTTCCTCCCGTACCTGTAACCGGTAAAACGTTAAAAAACGACGGACGATGACAGGCTGTTTTACTCACTGTTTGTCAGAGGCGATTCTTCCGGCCCTTCCTGGAGGACTCGCAGACTCTGGAAGAGCGAGATGTTCTGGGAGATGTTGCCCGCGGGGGCCTGGGGCGTCGTCTCCTCGACGGACCTCTTCGTCAGCCCTTTGGCGTTCCTCCAGTGGCACGGTTGGCTCTGAAAAAACAAAGGTTTAGTCCGTGTTGTTAAAGAGGCTAGCGTAGTTTAGCATTGGATGCATACTGGGCATCGGCCGTGGCACATCCTGACATCACACTCGATATAAAGGGCGGGCGACCCTGTAAACCGGAACGTCTTCATGTACGCGAACACCTGAGTCTCGAAAACGCCCGCCTCCGACCACGACCCCCTGAACCTGGAGATGAGCTTGTCGTCGACCGGACACCTGGAACAACCCCAATCAAATTACAATTTATACAACTACTTATAATAACAATTAACAGTAATAAGCTGTTTTATCAAAAAAAGACAAATGTATTATGCAAAAAAACATGCTCCATATTTTGTCCGAGAAGGAGGATTGCTTTAATAAGCGATCAAGCCACTGTTAATGGCAACAAATAAACTATAAACAGATGTAACATTGGTTTTCCCTTGATAAATAGTTTTTTGGTCTACATACCCATATTGGTCGATCAGTTGAATCCTCTTGTTAGCACCGTTGTGAGCGTAGCAGTCGTTGACCACAATGTCGAAGCCGTCTGAAAAAAAATCAAAAGTTTAAATTATTATTGTCTTATTAAGAATTTTAAAATATTTCAGGAAACTTACCGTATTTACTCCTCATGTAAATGATCAGTGTCAGAGGGTCCCCGACTCGCACAGGGCCTGCGACTCGGTTCCCGTTTGTACCATAGCCATACCTAGAAAGTATTATTTATTTATTTTTTTTGGGGGGGAGGGGTATAAACAGGGCCCCTTATATGTGCCTATCTTAGAAATAAAATTATGATTTTGCCAATAAAAAAACTGATTTTATTTTTCAAAACTGGGCCGCTCTCATAAAGGTGCTGCTATCATAACTCCATCTCGAACGATCCAGGAAACTCAAGACATCGTTGTTTATGTTAGTAATCGAAATTTTGAAAAAAAAATTCACTGAACGAGAAAATATTGTTGACTTTGTTGTTTGTTTGTGTATTGTTTGTGAAGGTTCTACGTTACAGTAAATAAAAAAAAAGTTCGCGCATATTATTGCAAAATTGATGATTCATAAGTGAATATTACTTGTTTTATCATCATATTTTCGTCCTCGTTTTAAATTTAGAACGTCCTTGACGAGAAATTTAATAATGACAATTTGACATCAATTATTTTATTTATTTGTTATGGAATTTTAAAATAAAGATTGAGTGCGTGTTGCTTTAAAATGGTAAGACTTCACAGAAAGATCGAATATTAAACCTGTTTATACTTTTAGAATTATAAATTATTTTGGTGAGACGTGAGACGATTTCGCTTCATGAATCAGAAAAAATTAAATAATTTCATTTATTCTATTGTAAGTCAAATTCCACATTTTGCTTAATTGTATCGTTATCGGTTTTATCCTAAACCAATGTTGATTTTATATGTGTGGTAATTAGTGACCGTTAGTCGATGATTATTCGGAAATCGTGAGATGCGGTCTGGTGTGATGTAGGTTTCAGAAAAACATTTCCTTTATCGTGCCAAAGTTTCGGTCTTTATTGAGATCATCTTCAGGGCCTGGGATTTACAAACATTTTTTAAATTTAACAAATACATGTAGGATGTGGAAAAAAGTGAATTTATACAATGCAAAAATTCATTTTTTTCAACATCCTATATGCGTTTGTTAAATTTAAACAATGTTTGTAAATCCCAGGCGCTGAAGATGATCTCAATAAAGATTGAAACGTTGGCACGATAAAGAAAATGTTTTTCTGAAACCTATATCACACCAGACCGCATCTCACGATTTCCGAATAATCGTTGATTTTATATCTTTTCTATTTTTTCTTCATAATGTTTTGTTAATTTTTATTTTTTTATTCTTGTTAATTTTTATTTTATCCTTTATTGTTAGTTCATTTTCATATTCAGTTTATGCGTTCTTAATTTAGTTTTTTTATTGTTATAATTTTTGCTTATATTAAGTCGCCTTTATATATATATTCTTTTTTCTGTTTTATGTTCATTTTGCAACGACCTCCGACAAACTATAACCTCCATGTGTGTAACTATAAACCTTTTCTTCCATTGTTGTAAATATTATTACTGAAAATCACTCTCTCTCTCTCTCTCCCTCTCCCTCTCCCTCTCCCTCACCCTTTCTCTCTCTTTCTCTCCCTCACCCTCTCTCTCTCTCTTTCTCTCTCCCACCCTCACTCTCTCTTTCTCCCACCCTCACTCTCTCTCTCCTACCCTCACTCTCTCTCTCCCACCCTCTCTCTCTCTCTCTCCCACCCTCACTCTTTCTCTCTCTCTCTCTCTCTCTCTCTCTCTCTCATCATGAATCGTGCGCTCTTTTTAAGCAACAAGCATGTTATTATGATTTTCAGGTTTGATCGTTTAGTTCTCATCCTTGTTTAGCTTTGCAAGATCTCTTTTCGTGATCTATGGGATAGCATAAATTAATAGAACTCTCATAGAACCTTTTCTAGAGTAGAGGTCGTTTCGGTGTTGTACAACGAAATAGAATAATTACATTTAAAATCAGGACGGATTGTTTTTTTGGAGAGAGAAACGGCGGGACTTATCTCGTTTCACGCTAAGGTCGAAGCGATATCGGAAAAAAAGTCGCCCGGTTTACTTTCCGACACGTCTTCCGACGCCCACCCAAAAAACTCGGAGAGCGCCCGTTAACGTAATATTTGCCATTCAAAAGAATCTCGACCAAACTTAAAAAAAAGGCTCACCTGATTTCCATGTAACACTCGGGCGGCGACAGCGTAAAAACGACCGGGTTTCCTGTGGCCACCCTGAAAGAAAGAGGAAACGGGTCAAAACATCCCGCTCTGACGGAAGGAAGCCGGAAGAAGTACAACTTAGATCCCTTAATGTGCGTACCTCGAAAGAGTGCGAAGAAGTGCGTGATTGGGGTGATTTGTGGGGGTAGAAAAAGAGTGGACGAATTGAAAGTGAAGAGCGTGCATACTTCGAAGCGGCAAAGTCCGAAGGGCCGGCTTTAGTTAGGGATTTGGCATGCCGGTCGTCGGACTGCAATGGAAACTGTGTCAGAACTCAGAGGGCGATTTTACCAGAGCCGTGAGAAGAGAAAAGTCTCGGCGACCAGAAAATAGATTTCCGGCAGTACTTACTCAACGTCGAGAAACGGAAAAGTGACGGTTTTCCAAAAATCGTAGCCGTACTCGCACGTGACTTTGAAGTGCTCGTCCCATTCTTCTTCGATGAGAGGGTTGTACTGGACCGTAACAGTATTCCACATCAAGTTTTTCTACGCATAACAAACACAAACAAATAAGACAATGACAAAAACCTAAAAAAAGTCATGCAATTTTTAGACTAAGATAAATAAACATAAAATTGTAAGAGTATTTATTGGATTTCAGCCATAAGGCCCTCTCAGTAATCCTATTGCATGGGGTATTCGGATTACTGACGGTGTTCAAAAAAGAAATATGTATAGCAAAAATTGTAATAAAACTTATTATTGCTGTAGTATCCTTAATGCGTTTACATATATACTTCTAAAAAAATTTTAACGTTTACTTCATTGTTTTTTCTTTATTCTCTGATTTTAAAGCAAAATTTAAAAAAGAAATAATTCTTGAAAATTAGTATAGTCTAAGCTGGTCTTGGGCTTTCGTTTAACTCTCCTCTCACACACTTAGACACTTCTTCTCTGCCTCTCCCCCTCATTCCCTAATTTACGCTCTCTCTTCCTGACACTCACTTTATATTTCTGATTCACTCACTCACTTATTTACTCCCTCTCACACTCACTTACTTTCTCTTTCTCTAGCTCTGCCTCACTCACTCATTCAATCACTCACTCACTAACTCTTTCACTCACGTACTCATTCCCTCACTCACTCAGTCACTTACTCTCTCTCTCTCTCTCTCTCTCTCTCTCCACCAGACACTTACGTAATATTTCTTATTCACTCACTAACTCTTTCATTCACGTACTCATTCACTCACTAACTCTTTCACTCACATACTCATTCCCTCACTCACTCAGTCACTTACTCTCTCTCTCTCTCTCTCTCTCCACCAGACACTTACGTAATATTTCTTATTCACTCACTAACTCTTTCATTCACGTACTCATTCACTCACTGAGTCACTGACTCTCCCCCACTCCTTCACTTATTTACTCTCTCTCTCTCTCTCTCTCTCTCTCTCTTCCAGACACTCACGCCATATTTCTGATTCACTCACTCATTCAATCACTCACTAACTCTTTCACTCTCGTACTCATTCACTCACTTACTCAGTCACTTTCTCTCTCTCTCTCTCTCTCTCTCTCTCTCTCTCTCTCTCTGTCTCTTCCAGACACTCACGTCATATTTCTGATTCACTCACTCATTTATTTACTCTCTCTCTCTCTCCTTCTCACTCACTTACCATTTCTCTCTCACTCACTCTTTCTCACTCTCTCTCTCTCTCTTTATCTATCTATCTCATTCACTCACCCACTCAATTATTTACTCTCTCTCCTTCTCACTCAATTCTATTCTCTCTCACTCACTCACTAACTCATGTAATCACTCACTTACTCTCTCTCTCTCTCTCTCTCTCTCTCTCTCTCTCTAATTCATTCACTCATCTCTCACTTACTAACTCGCTCTCTCTCTATGTAGACAATAAAAAAATATATATTTTTGATTTGTATTTTGAATAATGTAAACTTAATTGCATGTACGTATAAGACCTAATTTTGCGGGTTTTGCATATATAAAATATTAAGTACAATTCAATTCTCTTTGTCTTTCACTCTCTCTTTCCCTCCCTCTTTCTCTCTTTTTCTTTTTCTCTCTCACACCCTCTCCCTCATCAATTCTGTCACGAAGAATGCCCATTCCACAAAATAGAGAATCGTTCTATGATTTTTTGATGGACTTGGAGTTCATGAGTTCCAAGATGCTTAATCCTACATATGCATGGTAATGACATCCTTGATTTTAAGACATAGTGCTACGGTAAAACATGAACCCTGGGTCTGTTGAAACTTATAGGAAAAAACGGAAAGTGATATGTAAAATCAGCGGTTTTCATTGCGTTCTGAAACTCTAGGGGTTGGCGTTCTATCCTTTTATTGAAGGACTTGTAAAGCGATCCAGCATGCAAAAGTCAAACTAAGTTCCCTCCTATTGCAAAGTTATACTTATCAGAAAAAGTCCCTCTCAAACAAGATTTTATTAAGCTTCTATACAACTTGCCTGAAGAAAATGATATTAATGAATTTTATTTTTTTAAATTTATTTTAATTTGATATTTTATTAAAATTGGGTACATTCTCAGAATTAAGAAATAATATCTACGTGTAAGCTGGAAAAACAATTGTGCCGCAGGATAAATAATGAGGTCAAATGAGGTTTGTGTATCTGAACACGACGTAAAGCTAGATTTTTAAAATTTTCTCAAAATTGCACGTGGGGGCGAAAGTCTATTGGTCAAGGTCTAATAGATGTTATTTTTCAATAAAAGAAAGATGATAATTGACTTAAAGTAAGTAGCGGTAACATGGTCACAGGCTAATCATTGCGGTATTGTTTATTTTGCGGTTGTAACCTAGTTTTATTTGTTACGAGTAGGCGATGTGAAGAATCTCTTAATTTTAGGGTCAACATTAAATATAATAAATAACTACAAGTTGGAGAACTTAATCAACACAATTCGTGATTTCTCATCCATGGAAATAACTCACTAAATACATTTTGGACTATTCCATCTTCGGTGTGTTTCGTCCTAAATCACAGATCTTCAATAAAGAAACCCCACGTGGTTGAAAAACAACCAGTCAAGAAAAGACATCAAGAATCCACTAGAAGATGTTTCAATAAAGATTTTCTATCAAATGGAATAATAAAAATCAATTCTGGATTTCCCGATAACCTTTCTTGATGGTAGAAGGTAGAATTGTTATTTTTTTTAGAAGAAAAAACAATATTTACAAATTAATTAAGGTTTTTAGTTGAGATAAAAAGTCAGCGTCACGAGCGGGATGCGAACCCACGGCTTGATACGCCGCTGCTCTACCAATTACCGCTTCAATTTTTCAAATGTCGTGTAATCTATTTGATTGAAAAATGGCAAAAAGGAGGGAAAATTCAAAAGGTGGGGTTGAGATGGGAAGTTGGTGTCCGAATGGATCGAAGACACGATAGGACAAGTGGTAGAGTAGCGGTGTTATCTAGCCGAAGGTCGTGGGTTCGAATCCCGCTCGTGACACTGACTTTTTTATCTCAATTAAAATCCTTAATTAATTGAAAGATATTAATTGGTCAAGCGGACCACGAAAACTAATGAATTTAATATTTACAAATGTTATAAAGAATAAATATTTGTCTGTATTAAAACAACATTACTTAAAAAGCAGAAAGGTGACGATTCAGTCAACCACAGATTGTAAATTGCTGAAAGGAACGAGAAAATATATGTATAAAAAATATTTTGCAGATAAACTGTTGCAAAGAATGATAGATGGTTGATGGCCATCAATCACAACGCTTACGACTGACTCTATCAAGTGCAACTTGGTCAATAAAAAAAATATATGTTCTTCATGAAAAAGTTGAAAATGCATTAGAGCATTTAATTAAGACTAAAATGATTAAATGAAAACGAAACGGTGTGTCACAGGGCGGATTATTAAGGCCAGTCTATATCTGCACTAACGAGGGTACCAGAAAACGAGAAAAATATCACGGCTATCATTGCTGATGATACGCCAATCACGGCCGTCGGAGAAAGCAAAGCTGAACCGATCCCGAATTGAAAATGGGCCGCAAAGAAAATCGGATTAAACGGAGGAAAATCTGTACACGGGTCTTTACCAACGAAAAATGAAGTGTTAACCTCGATGTTATCCTTATTTTAACCTAGCTGAGTTATGACTAGAAGTTTCTGCAGAGTAAATCACACGTATGATATATAAGATGATGGATTGGGAATGTAAAGTTCTCTACAGGTCTTGATCTGCTCATGTAAAAACGACCGTCAAGTTTAAGTCAAGTTTTTATAATAATGTACCGAAGGATATAACAAAGTTGTAAGTTATAAATGAAGAACCTTCCTTGGATTTTTAAGTTGTAAACCGGCAAAAAAAATTTACGATAAATTATCTTAGCCCACAAAGAGAAGGTGGCAAGACAAAGCCCTGACAAGTAACCTGAAAACCAGACCAAAAGTTCAACCCTTCAAGTTTAGGGGACGACAAACAGCTGAGGTCATCGCTGGCCGTCTGCGTTTTGTACTTCTACTCTTTCACGCGTATTTTTCAACAGCCATTTGAGCGTCTCGACCTGTTACTGAATCTCTGCGTTTGTGTGCACAGTCTGGTCACATCCACTGCCTTACAATACTCGATATTCTTCGGGACGGGGTTGAACCGACTCAACTCTCGCTAATAAATTACTTTTATTCTACGGACGTCACACACGTAGAGACGTTAAGCAACCGCTTTATATCACGCTAATAAATTACATTCCAAATAAATTAAAATAAACACAACACACCTTGTATTACGTCGACGTATAAAACATAAAAATAAACTGTATATTGATTTAAGAAATGTAATTTTTGTGTAAAACATCCCCCCATCGCATATTTGGGTAACACTGTGGAATGATTCCGGGAGGTAATATAATAAAACCAACGATAAAAACCATCAACTATAATAACTGTGAATAACTGTTTTGATGACAGGGAGATAGAAAAAATAGCGGAAAAGATAAAATAACACCTAACGATTCCCTGACGGTGCGAACGTGATGGAAGCAGTCCGGGTGTCGAAAAAGCAAATACGCATAACATGACTAGCAGCCGTTTCATTATGGTCATCATCACGACATAACTGGACAGATATGGACGAAATGTCATGGATTTCGAACCACGAAAATTCGTTCGAAAAATTAAAACTTATTGGACAACAATAATTACACTGGGTGGCCCGGAAAATAAAGCAGTTTTCATGTTTTCTTTAATGTTTTATCGAGGGCACTCTCAACACGACACGCAAGAATGGCACAATTACACAGAAGACAAACACTTTGAGCCCTGAAGATGATCTCAATAAAGATCGAAACGTTGGCACGATAAAGAAAATGTTTTTCTGAAACTTACATCACACCAGACCGCATCTCACGATTTCTAAATAAATATCGATTAACGGTCACTAATCACCATACATAAATAACAACACTGCTAGGCACAATAAAGTTATAAACAACGTGGCAAACGTGAGCAATAATGACAGATATCAAGATAAAAAGTATATAAATATAAACATTTACTCAAACAAATTGACAAATAACAATCTACACAAACAATCTAAAAATAAAAAAATAAAAAAGGAGTGATAAAATTAAAAAATTAAAACCAGATTAATCACCATATACGCGTGAAATTAAGGCTATGATGAGTTGATTTAACACTAGAAATTTTGCTAAACTCTCAAACTCCTATTTTGGACAAGATTGTTGAGGTGGGAAGTAATGACAGATATCAAGATAAAAAGTGTTTAAATGGAAACATTTACTCAAACAAATTGAAATAAACAATCAACCCAAACGATCGACAAATTAATAAAAATGAAAAAGAAGTGATAAAATGTAAATCAGATTAATCACCATATACGTGTGAAATTAAGCTATGATGAGTTTAGTTAATATTAGAAATTTCGGTTAACGTCTCCTATTTTGGACACGGTCATTGAGGTGGGAAGTAATGACTCCTATTTTGGACAAGGTTGTTGAGGTGAGAAGTAATGACTCCTATTTGGGACAAGGCTGTTGAGGTGAGAAGTAATGACTCCTATTTTGGACAAGGCTGTTGAGGTGAGAAGTAATGACTCCTATTTTAGACAAGGCTGTTGAGGTGAGAAGTAATGACTCCTATTTTGGACAAGGTTGTTGAGGTGAGAAGTAATGACTCCTATTTTGGACAAGGTTGTTGAGGTGAGAAATAATGACTCCTATTTTGGACAAGGCTGTTGAGGTGAGAGGTAATTACTCCTATTTTGGACAAGGTTGTTGAGGTGAGAAGTAATGACTCCTATTTTGGACAAGGTTGTTGAGGTGAGAAGTAATGACTCCTATTTTGGACAAGGTTGTCGAGGTGAGAAGTAATGATTCCTATTTTGGACAAGGTTGTCGAGGTGAGAAGTAATGACTCCTATTTTGGACAAGGTTGTCGAGGTGAGAAGTTATTTTGGACAAGGTTGTCGAGGTGAGAAGTAGTGATTCCTATTTTGGACAAGGTTGTCGAGGTGAGAAGTAATGACTCCTATTTTGGACAAGGTCGCTATCAAAAGAAGTTTCCTGAATGTATTGTGGACATTATATGCTTTTCATTCGCTATATGTGACTTATGTTGGACATATTGTACTCACGGCTGGGTTCTTCCGGGCGTCTTCCTGCCTCGAATTCTTCCCGAGTGTGCCACACCTGTTGAGCTGTATGTAGAATTCGTAGTAGTCGCGTCCAGTGCCGTTGATGTAGACGCAGTCGGGGTCATACGAGTAGCCCGACGAGTAAAGCAGGCCGCCGAATGAGCCGTTGAAGCCTATCCTGATTTTCATGTAGTCGTCTTGACATTCGGCTTCGATATCTGTAACCAAAAAAACGACGGATTTTGAAACTTTTTAAATCCTTCGATGAAAAACGGCGTTGCGTAAAGTCGGGCCGGACTTCCGCGTACCTCCCAGGGTTTATCGGCCCCATTGTCTGACAAAACTGTTAGAAAAGGATACGCCGGGTTAAGGAGAGCGACTTCTTCACTCTCGGTCCTGTGTTTGGCGTTAAACAAAGGAAGGATTTTTTTTACAATAGTACATTCCTAGGACGAACAATCGTTCGTGGGGCAGGACCGTTCTTACACTTCGGAAAAGCGAGGTCTAAGCGTTTGACATCAAGTAGCTGTACTCAATTTCGGTTTAAAGGATAATCACAAAAACATTTTCAAACTAAAAGAGTCGCTTTTTCAATAAAATGGTGTTATTGATGTACCAAATCAAAATGCCACCGACTGAAGATACTCGGTCCTTAAAACTTGATGAGTTTAATTTTCCTTGTGTTGAAAAGATGAAAATGAAGTGACTTAAAGACCAAATGAAAAATAGACATTCTCGGCTTCAATATGTTAAGTCTAGTACGAATTGTTCACGTGTAAAACCCGGTTCTAATATGATATAGGTAAATCTTTAAAATTTGGCAAATATCTATGAAGGTATCTTTGCGCTCCGTGTCCAGCTCATTGTTGTTGCCCTAACGGGCGAACGGCGGAAGCTGTTGCGTCGTCGGTCTGTTGAGCCACTTCTCTCCCGTTTACCACAAACTTACATCACCCCGGCTTTCTTTCGTCGAATGGGCTTCGTTGAGGCCTTTTTCGGGGCGAAGCACCGTCTTAAGTGAGACTTGCTAAAGTCTTGAATGCCACGACTCGTGTTAACAAGGAACATAAATAAGGTAATCTTTTCTGAAGTACAAAGAAAGAAAGACCAAAATTAGGCTGGCTTAGGGATAGCAAATGTAAATAAATATCGACTCAAAGGGTTCAAATTTATCAGAATTTCTGCTCAAAATATGTCCTTTTTTGAAAGATTGACTTTGAGAGACTTTCTCATTCCAGACAAAACACATATGGAACATAATATATTGGATTCCGCATCTTATGTCAAAAACAAATAGCAAGATAAAGTAGATAACAAACTTGAACAAAATCGAGACATAGCTAGATAAATAGATAGATATACAGCTAGAATGATAGTTAGATAGATAGTTGGATAGATAAATAGATAGAGAGAGAGCGAGAAAGAGAAGGAGAGAATGAAAGAGAGAGAGAGCGAGAAAGAAAGAAAGAAAGAAAGAGAGAGAGAGAAAGAGTGGGGGAGAGAGAGAGAGAGAGAGAGAGAGAGAGAGAGAGAGAGAGAGAGAGAGAGAGAGAGAGAGAGAGAGAGAGAGAGAGAGAGAGAGAGAGAAAGGGAGGGGAGAGCAAGACAGATAGAAAGATAGATAGACAGTTAAAGAAATATATAGATAGATAGATAAATAGAGAGCAAGAGAGAGAGAAAGAGGGAGAGAGAAAAAGAGTGGGGAGAGAGAGAGAGAGAGAGAGAGAGAGAGAGAGAGAGAGAGTGAATGGGAGAACAAGGCAGGTAGAGAGAAAGGGGGATTTGAATGAAAAATGGATGAAACAAAAAATGAGACATAAGTAAATAAGGTAAATAGACAGATAGGTAAATAAGATAAATAGATTTAATAACATATAGCTACATATACCAATTTAATAACACATAAGAGATTAAAATTTATTCTATTAAGCTTTAATAACATATGACTACAGAAACGCTTTTAACATTTGGAAATGCTTGGTCAATATTATGAAATCATAATTAAATTGCAAATAATAGATACTTTTAAATTTCAACAAGGAAATCAAATGAAGTATTTTTTATTTATGTACTTTAAAATTTAAATGTTTTTGTATGTTTATATGTCTAAGAGCATATTTTCTAAGGCAGACTTTTTGCGAAATATCACCACTTTCTTTCTAGATTAGTAACTAATAAACTTTTTGAATGGATCTTTTTTTTGACAACCATTATAAAAAAACAAAAGTATATAGATCATTCAGACAATACATGATAAAGTTATGCTGTTTACTTCCAACCCGAGATAATTTTATAATTTCATCCAAGTACATTTTAACTGTAAGTGTAAATTTTTGTAAGGTGAAGCCGGCCATTAATTGTCTGTTTGCATTAATGGCTGTGAGTCTTTTGTTCTGCGTTAATCAATTCTTGCTTGCTTCATGCCTGTTTAACGCCGACCGTTTGTTGCGGTTCTGCATATCCAACTGGGTCAACTCGTTACCGGCAAATCGCCTGTTTAGCACACAGAACTCTACAGAAAATGGAAAAGTCAAGTTTGGGACTTTGTACCCCCAGATCAAAACTCAATTTTTTCGATTTTTCAGTCACTATCATTGACACAGTTTAGGACATCCTCTCTTGGGATTTTTATGCAATTTACGATAACGGGATCCAATTACTTCGTTGACAAAGTCGAGAATTTGGAAGAATTTTCGTTCAAGTAGTTTGAATAAGAAATTTGTTTGAGGTTTTGGCTAAATTCCTGACTTTTAGTCCTTGTATCAGTTGTAGTAGTATGGAGTTGTAAAGTAGTCTTTTGTCTGGCGACAGACGATTTTGCCGTACCGTCGTTTAATTAAGCCGTGTTTGTGGATTCTACGTCTGTACCCCTAGGTATTCGTATTGCATGCAATTTTTATTTATTTAGAAATCGTGAGATGCGGTTTGGTGTGATGTAGGTTTCAGAAAAACATTTTCTTTATCGTGCCAACGTTTCGATCTTTAAATTCACTAATTTCGTGGTCCGCTTGACCAATTAATACATTACAATTAATTAAGGTTTTTAGTTGAGATGAAAAAAAGTCAATGGCACGAGAGGGATTCGAACCCGGCACGAACGGAAAGCTTTTTTCATCTCAATTAAAAACCTTAATTGTAATGTACTAATTGGTCAAGCGGACCACGAAATCAGTGAATTTAATGAATTAAATGAAATATACTTCACTAAAGCTCTCCGAGGCCATTTCATTTGTCGTCGAGAATCCAATCCGATTACACGACATTTGAAAAATGGCAAAAAGTAGGGAAAACTCATAAGGTGTGGTTGAGATGGGAAGTTGATGTCCGAATGGATCGAGGTCACGGTAGCTAAGTGGTAGAGCAGCGGCGTATCTAGCCGAAGATCGTGGGTTCGAATCCCGCTCGTGCCATTTTTTTCATCTCAACTAAAAACCTTAATTAAGTGTTTCGATCTTTATTGAGATCATCTTCACGGCTCAAAGTGTTTGTCTTCTGTGTAATTGTGTCATTATTGCGTATCGTGTCCAGAGGCACAATTACACAGAAGACAAACACTTTGAGCCCTGAAGATGATCTCAATAAAGATCGAAACGTTGGCACGATAAAGAAAATGTTTTTCTGAAACCTACATCACACCAGACCGCATCTCACGATTTCTAAATAAATATCGATTAACGGTCACTAATCACCACACACATTGTATGCAATGTGAAGTAAGAGAAGCCCTCAGGGCAGTACTGTACCAAGGGATGAGGTGATGACGTCTACGCGATAACACTATTGAACAATAAGTGGCAGTTGTCAAAACCGAATTGACGGAATTTATATTTTGGGAATTTAGGATCAGAAGCATATTTTTCAAAAGGAACGTTTCTAAAACTCTGTCCCAAAATGAGTAGTAGACGTGTTCTCCTTTATTAATTAGGACAATGTTAGTATTTTGGTTTAAGGAAAATTCAGATATGGGAGTGTTTCCAAGCTGAAAGAAAGTAGAAGAACAGAATTGGATAATTGGATATATAATGAATATGATGCCACTTTATGGAGGTTTTGGAGGACTTTAAGTTTAAGGACGAAACCTCTAGCTTTTTCTACTATCTAAAAATGACTAGGTTTTAGATATTTTTTTATCGGTGGCATATACTAAGCATCTTTACTCAAGCCACTTTAGTCACGAAATTTTTTTTCGTCTTATCGAGAGATATCTTTAATACGGGAAAAAGTATAGAATAGCATTTTCTGTTTTTGACTTATTTTGACATGAAAAATTAATGGTGAGGCAACAGCTTAATTTCCTGTTGAGGTAGTGAAATTATGAAAATTAAAAAAAAGCGAGATAAGCCGGCCGTCAGTACTGGGGCAAGGACAAGACGCCTTATCCGTTCATCTTTCCATTCGAGCGACGGCTTTCCCTTCTTCGGACCCCGTCCTCCGCTAAATCCATTTTCCCGACTTTTCATAATTAACTAAAATTTCCATTCCGGGAATATTTCCCGATGTTTTCCCTAAGGATGAGATTGCGTTTTTTCACCTCACCGCTCAGGTATGATGGCGTGAATCCAAGGGCGTCGACGGCGGCGTCTCCGCGTTTACACGCTCGTAACACATTCAATGGAAGCTTCGGCAAAACGGCCTCAACGGACACGTCTCGGCCTCGTCAAAACGCAAAAGACCCCGAGGTCTTTGAAGGAGGAAAATCGAGCGTTAAACCGTTCCTAGGGATCGTATTATGCCCACCGTCAACCTCGTGACATATCGCGAATCTGCACGTTTTGCGATAACCTTTCATGAAGAATAACGGGGAAGAACTAAACGGACCCACATCTGAAGATCCAACTCGTGGATAGGACAACGTACCTTGTACAATAGCCACAGAGGAATCAAACAGTACTATTGTTCATATAAACATATAAAATTTAATCAGTGTACAAATACGATACATGCCATACCAACTTCATGCTTTTACTTTAAACTACTGAATAGAGATATTTTGCAATTGAAACTTCAACATTGAATAAGTAAGTTCGAATGAAAACCAATCTTCTTTGTTCTAAAAACATCGTTATTTTTTCTGTCTAAAATCACTGCCATTTTGGCTCATCTATTATGGTAAAGTGTTCTCCTTTAGAAATTTCACTTGGTAATTTCTTTGCTAGTGTTTTTTTTTAAATAACTACCTAAATCTTAACAGTCTCTCATGGTTTTGCCTCTTCTTGATGTTTCTTTTTCAGCATTGCTCATTTTCTTCTACCAGCGAGTGAAGAGGTATAAAATCACATCCTGAGATTATATTTCTTATCCTATCGGACCTTTCCAGGTTAAATTTTTCAATATTTGAATATTCATTAGATTTCGTGGGCCGATTGACCAAGTATCATCTTTCGATTAATTAATCTTTTATGTAAGGTATTGGTTGAGATAAAAAAATCAGCGTCACGAGCGGGATTCGAACCCACGAGCTTCGGCTAAATACGCCGCTGCTCGATCCACTCGGACACTAACTAACCTCCCGTCTCAACCCAACCTTTCGAATTTTCCATCCTTTTTGCCATTTTTCAAATGCCGAGTAATCTGTTTGATTCTCGGCGACAAATGACATGGCCACGGAGAGCTTTAGTGAAGATGCACTTCATTTAACTTATTAAATTCGTTATATTTCGTGGTCCGATTGACCAAGTATCATCTTTTAAATAATGTGTGATGATTAGTGACCGTTAATCGATAATTATTCAGAAATCGTGAGATGCGGTCTGGTGTGATGTAGGTATCAGAAAAACATTTTCTTTATTGTGCCAACGTTTCGATCTTTATTGAGATCATCTTCAGGGCCTGGGATTTACAAACATTGTTTATATTTAACAAATACACGTAGGATGTGGAAAAAAGTGAATTTATACAATGCAAAATATATTTTTTTAATATGTTTTTTTGAAATTTTTTATATTCAATCAAAGTATTTCTACTCACTCAAATGGTACACAGAAGACAAACACTTAGAGTGAGTAGAAATACTTTGATTGAATTTAAAAAAATATATTTTGCATTGTATAAATTCACCTTTTTCCACATCCTACGTATATTTGTTAAATGTAAACAATGTTTGTAAATCCCAGGCCCTGAAGATGATCTCAATAAAGATCGAATCGTTGGCAGGGTAAAGAAAATGTTTTTCTGAAACCTACATCACACCAGACCGCATCTCACGATTTCTGAATAATACTTTCAATTAATTAATCTTTTATGTAAGGTATTGGTATATTGAAAATTGGTAAAAAGGAGGAAAAATTCTAAAGTTTAGGTTGAGATGGGAGGTTAGTGGATCGAAGTCACAATAGCTCAAGTGGTAGAGCAACGGCGTATTTAGCCGAAGGTCTTGGGTTCGAATCCCGCTCGTGACACTGACTTTTTATCTCAATACCTTACATATTAGTATAATTAATTGAATTATTTATTACCTTGACAAATAATTTAGTGAAGTATTAATAATGTATGAAAAGTCAGTCTACATTTTTTTCATATTTTTCTTTCATCTTCACCGGTGACTTCCAAGCTGAGGTCCGTGCAATCGAAAGATGTACCCAATTCAATCGGAACAAAGGTTTCAAAAGCAAGAATGTAGCTATCAAATCAGATAACCAAGGTCAAACATCATTAGCTCAAAGATGATCCTGAATTGCAATACCAAACTAAACAAATTCGGTATGCAAAACAAAATCAGCCTCTTTTGGCCCGAGGATATGTGGGAGTAGAAGACAATGAGAAATCGGATGATGCCCTGGCAAGAAGAGGGACTGCTATACCGCTGATAGGAGCCGAGCTTTTCTGTAGGAATACACACTATCACCTCAGACAGAAGAATAGAAAGAAAATGAAGGAACATTGGAACTCACCCATTGGACACAAATAATCCACGAACCTACTAACAAACTTTGGAAGGAAAGAAGTAACTGAATGCATTAAAGGAAGCCGGAAAAAACTACGAATCCTAACAGGATCAGGGCAGTGCAAACTGAAGAAGATTGGCATAACCACGGTATGCAGATTCTGCGAAGAAGCCGACGAGACACAAACACTACTAACAAACAATGGTGCTACACTTGCGCACAGGGGGCACATTTGGGACATACAGCGTAACCGTAGAAGAGACTGAAACCGGGCCTACTAATCAAGTTCCTCGATGAACTAGGACTTACAGGTGTAATTTAAGCACATTACTGGGAATACAATCTACCTAGCTTTCATCTTGTTCAAGCATAAGTTGTTTAATTAAAATAATTAAAAATAATCTTCGCTTGTTTTCTACCGTCGACAGGTTGACCTATGAAAATAGAAAAATATAGAAATACGACTATAAATGAAACCAGCGAGAATAGGCGGACCAAGACGATCAAACTAGAAATCTTCACCTTAGTATTTCACTGTCTTACATTACTGATGTTAAAAAAATACTTACGCTGTACTCTCGTCTTGTTGTTGATGTACCTTCTCGAATCCCATGTCTCCAGACCTGACTGGGCTCGCCAATCCAGCAGGGCGTGTTCCAGCGGTCTTGATCTCAGCTGGGTATTTATTGGCACATAACCTTCTCCGATATACACCACCTAAAAATAATTTAAAAAAGAAGTTATTTTAGGATATTTCACGCACTGCTAGTGATTCGAAGAATGTAAAACATACAGAACAAATTCATACTGATAGTGTTTACTAATTTTCAGTTTGCGAGTGATTTCGCTGTTTTAAACTGTTCTGACTTAACTGTTCTAGAAAATATAATAATTATCCATATTACTTTTGATCTATATTTTCCCGATCGATGGATTATTATGAAATAATTTATATCACAACATTCCACTAACAGACAAAAAGTAGGAAACCTACCCTGCGGTCTTACTTTCCTTAAATTTTTGGCGCGCGGCATGAGTCGCGAGCCTCGCGATTTACCGAGAAAAAACCCACATCGGTAAGGTCGTCTTCAAGGGATTGAAACAGTTATGCGACCGTAAAAAAATAAAATAAAATAAATAAAAACGAGTTCCCATGGAAATGAGGGTAATCAGTTACTGTTTGCCCCGCTACGCATCCCAAATGGAGCGAGAACGGCCAATTTTTTCTCTCGCGCGCGTCGTCTCTGAGCGGCTGGTTCAATTACAACCTCGTTAACAAAAACATAATTTACGAACTTGTGAAACACCTTTTGGTTTCTTCTACTAGATGAACCTGGAAAACTATCCACGGACAGTTTATTATCCCTTGGGTAATTAATTATCTTAACCATAATCATTGTGTATAAACTATATTGATAATAAACTATTTACTAATTATTCTAAGCATTAAACAATGAATTTTACATAGACAAGAGAGGGTCAAAAGATAGGTCGGATAGGAATAGAAAATCTTAAGTATTATATGGGTGTTTAATCACCCACCGAGTGCCTTGGTTCCGTATAGAGAGCGAGTAGGGATGCCACGAAACTTTTAACTATGAACTGACTGTTTTTCTAGATCTACCGATGATTTTTGTACTGTATAATAGTGTTTGTAGTATGTTAAATATTCCGTGCGATTGAAAGTATTCATTAGCGCGAAAGCTTATTTTTAAATGGCCTAAGACGGAATAATCGACGCTCACGTATGATAGATTTATAGTTTGTGTATCAGATGAGTGATGTAACACTCGTCATGACAGCTAGTTGACATTTTTGAGTTTTTGTTCCTGAATTATCTTATTTGGTCATAAAATTTTCTTTTACCACCAGTTCGGAAAATGTAAATGTCATTTTTGAAGTGAAAGTTTACTAAAAATATATAATTTTTGTTCATTACCTATTTTGATCTGCGTATCCTCGCCGGGTTTGTCTGTAAGACCCACTGAAGATGGCGAAATGCCGAAACGCGTCTGACAGACCAACCCAGCGAGGATAGGCAAAGATGATCGGTATGGATCAAATTAGGTTCATCACCTTACAGACAGGAGGGAAAAATATGTAGTTAAATAATTGTATTTGTCAAAACAGAGGCTCTAGGTTCGAAGCCTGGCAGATCCCATGGTTTTTTAATGGATTATAGCATGAGAAATGGGTAGTAAAGTGGTTGACCCCCTCGTACTCAACAGCCATTGGATAGATGGACGTTAAGACCTCCGGTATGACAGGAATTACTTTACATTTTACTATAATTTCGCTTTTTTTATATTCCATTTATGTTAATCAAGGTTTTTCTCTCATAAGAAACTTTTGTAGTATCCGCGGTGGTAAGTTCGATTCCTACAGTCGCCAATGGAATTTTCTGAACGCTTTCCTTCATCCCAAAAATCACTATATATAACATCTAAAATATAAAAAAATGTAGTTCAAAATGATCAAAACTCATGAAATTCTTTCTTCTTGTATCAAAGAAGATCATATTTGTCAATAAATCAATCGTTTTATTATACTTTCTTATTTCATGGTTTTTGGTTTTCAGTGTTCTGATCGGTAGTCGTTCTCTTTCGTGTTCTCTTGCTGGCTTAAGTTTCAATCAAAAGCTTGGGATCACGCCATCTTCAGTAAAGGTACTTGCTTAAGTTTCAACCGAAACACCCGTGTGTGAAACGTATAGCCTTGTCCCCACGGCTTGTCGTACCTTACACCGAGGGTACTTAAAGTCCGACCTGAAAGTTTTGGTGCTTAACGGATGACAAGCCTCAGTACTGCTTGATCACCAGTCCCCACGATCAGTTGTAGTTTGTTGCCGCAGTACCGGTTTTTCTGACCTGAATTCATTTTTCAACATCTATAAATTATATCTTTAAATCAAAACTAGCTGTATTAAAAACAATTTACGCAATGGGTGACTCGTGGCCGCTCGAAATTCGCCATGGACATAGTTTGAACTAGTTTGTTGTTTATTGACATCAAAAGTTTTGCACAACAAAACAAAACATAACGAAGTTTCAAAAATACAGTCAGATTTTTCTTTTGAGTTTGCCCAAATCGTTGGTATAAATGTTCAATTCATTACAGTTCGTGGTCCGATTGACCGAATAACGTTTTTCCATTAATTAATCTTTATATAAGGTATTTATTGAGATAAAAAAGTCAGTGTCACGAGCGGGATTCGAACCCACGGCCCTCGGCTACTCTACCACTTGAGCTATCGTGACTTCGATCCACTCGGACACTAACTTCCCATCTCAACAATTTCGACAAATACCTTATATAAAGATTGAATTGAAAAACGTTATACGGTCAATCGGACCACGTATTCTACAGAATTTAATAAGTAAAATGAAGTATATTTTCATGAAAGCGATAATTTAACTGCTTATTTGGACAATGGTAGTTCAATTTAGATATTCAAATCATCGTTCCATGTTAATTGGATCGTTAGAAATATAATTTTTAATTTTTTTTACATTGCAGACGTGTAGCAGAGACCAGAGGCAAAGAATCGCATAAGAGAACCTACTCTGGTAAAATAGCAAATAGTTATATATATTATTTTTATCATATTAGACAAGGTTTGTGTAACGAGAGAAAGAAAGAAAGAAAGAGAGAGAGAGAGAGAGAGAGAGAGAGAGAGAGAGAGAGAGAGAGAGTGAGAGGGAGAGCAAGACAGATAGAAAGATAGATAGACAGTTAAAGAAATATATAGATAGATAGATAAATAGAGAGCGAGAGAGAGAGAGAAAGAGAGAAAGAGAAAAAGAGTGGAGAGAGAGAGAAAGAAAGAGAGAGCGATAAACTGATAAATGATAAACTTAAGTCTATTAGGTTTCGTGGTCCGATTGACCAAATAAATTCTTTTCAATTAATTAATTTTTAAGTAAGGTACTGGTTGTGATAAAAAACGCAGTGTCACAAGCATTCGAACCCAGGACCTTCGACTAAATACGCCGCTCCTCTACCAAAATTCAAAAGGTGGGGTTGGGATGGGAAGTTGGTATCCGAGAGGATCGAAGTCACGATAGGTCAAGTGGTAGAGGAGCGGCGTATTTAGCTAGGGTTAGATATATTAGGGTTCGAATCTCGCTCGTGATACTGACTTTTTATCTCAACAAATACTTTATATAAAGATTAATTAATAAATATTAAACAAGATTGGACCCAAAACCGACCCTGAGGGGACCCCCTAGCTTTTATGTTACTAAGTGATAATTTATTATCGTATATTTAGACAAAAAACTTCCTATAAGTAAAATATTAGATTACCTAATTAATTAAATATTTAGGAATTTTGTATGATATGAATTAGTCTAATAAAGATTAGTCTTTTGTGAAAAACGCCTTTTCAAAGTCAAAAAGATCAATCTCTTTCCATGCCTATCTGCATGTTAAAATTATCAAGAAACTTTTTAAAGCCATATTTATTTTTTTTATTTATTTTTTTCTTAGTATAATTGTTGGGAGATATGGATTTTATTGAAGTCTTCAAAACAAGGCATAATTCAAATTTTTATAATCCTAATACACATCGTCATTAGACAATCCAATCAATAAAAACAGGCAGAAATAACATAAATTTCATGATTGTCCTGGTACATATGTCCAAACATTTTATCAAGTTTGGCATTGGACTTGATCTTTTTTCGCTGGTGTAATTATAATACTTAAGAATGACTTTTATTTAAATATTGCTCACTAGTGAGAAGCACCGTGGTATAAGAGAATGTGATTATATGATGTCCTGATGATCCTAACTTAGGAAGGCAGGACGGAAAAAGCCAAACGCTTCTTAATATAAATATATAGTAAAATCGTCAAAAATTGAACTGTGATAATAATCAATGGCCACAATAGCTATAGGTTTAACATATTGAGATTTTTTTATGATCTGAGAGTTGATGAACTTGAGTTGGTCCTGTCCAATCTTCCTGGTTCTATCTTTGCTAGTTTTGGTCCAAATTTATTTATTTTCTACCTGCTAAGAAACATAACACGGATAATTTTGTTATGTAGGTAAACTTAAACAGTATAAATCTGATGGAAACAAGTAACTAATAGTCAGTAGTCTGTGTTTGAAGTAAAATATCAAATACATTGATACATCAATACATCACACATCTTTTTGACTTGATAACGCAAATAAAATAAAACATCAATAAATAAATTTGAAAACGAAAAACACGAAACAGTAAAAATTACAGAGTTTACTGGACCTGAGAGGTACTCTCTGGCCCATGTAAATCGTAATTCGTTTCGGAATAACTTATTGTTAAAAGTGTAAACATAATTTTCAGTTTTGGATCGGAAAAGACCGGAGATGCGGGGACTCGGTTGCCATCGGGAGACCGTTTTACATTGTTTGGATTGGATTAACAGTGTCAAACGGGGCATTAGCCAGCGGCGCGGATTCGGGGCGTCAAATGGAGCGTAAATGTCGGAGGTAACCGTCTTCTTTGTTGGATGGTTTTATTTCCCGGGAGGAACGCAGCATCATTTTACGACTTCTTCATTCATCCTTCGATATCAACTAACGGCCTGGGGCGAAAATCTGGGCCATACGAGAAGGAAAACATTTACAAAAAAACCTGCCGCTCCCATATTTCTAGAACAAATAGACCAAAAAATGCGAAACAAATTGGGTATATCAGAGTATTAAAAAATATTTATTGTTTTCTCCC